AACAGGGTTCTTGAAATCTCCGTGAACCAGTATAAAAGGAGTTGTCTCGATCCCTCTCTCGCGACTTCTATCGAATAGTCCACCAAGTGTTTCGTTCAATTCCGACAGATCGTTGATATGAATCACCACACTTTGACGTGTTTCGAGGATTGATGGTTTCCACCGTCGTTTTCCAGAACAAGTTAGATGAGGACTTGGCAGAATATGTGACAACAATGATACGATGACGAAATTGCGAGTATCTGTGTACAAACACGTTATTAAAAATTAAGTCATGATTAAGTCATTTTGCCTTCATACCTGATGATAAATCCTCACTATCAAGCAAAGACAGAAGATATTTTCCATCAACATCTGTTACCTCAATATCCAATATCGAACGAATACCTTCAACAAATGCTGACCAACGATCGAACAGAAGTGTCTCCTTTGCTGGGAACTTATGCAAAAAATCAATCTGGACTAATTGATACCCTTGATGATTCCTCAATGTTGGATACTCAGCCAAGATCGAGGAACTGGTCCAACTGGATTTTTTTGAAAGTTCGAACGATCTTAGCCTGCTGGTTGCTTTCCACTTTTGCTTCACTTCTTCCCACTCGTCTTGGTTGTGTACGAACCAGGCTTTGGTTTGTTGATATTCTTAAACTGTCAAATAATGTAACGTTAGCTAATTATTTTTATTGGCAATAATATTATCAGTCTACCTTGCTGTTCCGAAACTATCTTCTCCGCTTCAAAAGGCTTCACACCGGATGTTGACGGTTGCTGCAAGTCATCCTGATTATCTTCAATTGGTTCTCTGTAGTTAATATTCCTGTCGTATAGTCGTCCTTTAGCCTGTTTTCGAAGTTTGATTTTTCGACCCGCACCGTTTTTGATGAATGTAGGCTGGTACCATCCGTCCTAGTTAAGAATATTAATTTAGTCTTCAATTAAGTTAGTCTTTCCAACTATAATTGACACTTATTTCGGGGGGTATTTTAAAAATCGATTTATGTCCGTTTGGAAGCTTTACAATCATCGAAGAAAAGTAAATTACCTCTGGCTCTCCTGGAAATTGCTTTCCTAGCTCGGATGCTCTGTCCCGTAGCTCAGATGGGGTTAATTTTCCAAATCGATCCTTGAACTCATCAACAACGATGTGAGTGATGGTCCTCTTATCAGCTCTTGATAAAAATGTCTGTGTTTGGTATTTTTGAAGGATGGCTCGACCTTTTGATGACGCGTTAAGCAAGTAATTTGCGTTGCAACGTTCTCGAGTAAGATTTTCTGCTGTAAAAACTCTTTTTACCAGCTGCGATGAAGCCGCGGTGCTGTCCGATGGTTGGTTTGACGATAGCGACGGTAATCCCTTTGGTAATAATTGAAAGTCTGAATTGTTGTCATAAAACATATTTTTTCGTACAATCTTACCTGTCCGTTTCTCCAAGCGTTCAATCCATATATGCACTTCGTCCGTTCAGCAAGAAATGGCGGTGGTATTAATTCTTCGATTTCCTTGCGTTCGACAATTTTCAACGTTTCCACCGAGGGGGACGACTCTATCTACGATGCAAAAAAGATTGTGTTTTGCTGTGGCTAGCTGGGCGCACGCTGAGTAGATAGAAAGAAGGTTGATGACGATTCTGAAGATTTCCTGCAAAAAATTGATGAGCGGTGCAAGTAGATGCGACAAATGAAAGAAGATTGTTCGAAGATTGATTCGCTAGTGTGAGATTTGTTGACCATCTAAACTTGAGATTTAGATGTGTCGCCCCCCTCGGTTTCCACGGTGTATTGATTTGCTGGAATTGAGAAAAAATCGTTAAAACACGTATTAAAATGCAAATACTGAATTCCTTACCAAGAAAGCAATTGACAACTTGTTCCGAGAGTTCAAAACTCAGCAATAAATCGACTAGCGCGTCATTTACTTCTTCCACTTCCTCAAAAAGAACTTCTTCCGACGAGTCCATTTTGCGTTTTAAATAAAGCCTAGAAATGGCGACAGGGAAGCCGAGCATGCGCAAGCATTGAAAACACACACATACACTGACAAAATGAGCCTGTGTATGTTTTGGAAAAGTGTTGCTTTTAAATTAACAATATATTTTTTAAAAGTAGTTAAAATAATATCTGAAGACAAAAATATATTTTATTGAATCTACAATATATTTGTTTTAAGAATTTGCAATGAAAACAACAAAAAAAAATTTTGAAGCTACAAAATATAAATATTGAATTTGAAAAAAGTTATATTTGACATTGCAAAATATTTCAATAATATTTTTTTTTTGGTTCAATAAGGTCAATTTTCTCTGCGTGAATGAACTAGAATCTTTGAAAAATCTCAAAATTTGACAAAATGGCGGGCATTTGAAAAAAAGTCATTTACCTAGTTACCGCCATTTTGTCAAATTTTTAGATTTTTCAAAGATTCTAGTTCATTCCATTCTCTGAACTATACTCTTCAAGAAACTGAGCCGATTTTCTTTCTAGGTGACGATTTGCGACCTCTAGGCTGCTCGCAGTTTTGGAAAGTACCTGCCGGGCAGCCGCCATTTTGGATTTTGGGACTTGAAAAAATTCCCAGTTGTAGAGCAAGAATGAATAAAGATTTGACAAAAAACTCAGGTCTCTAACTCTTACCAGTTCCCTGGAAAAAAAATCCAAAGTTTAGGTCAATTGAACCGGAAATCCCCCTTAAGTGTCAAATAGTGAAGCTATTATTTTGCTTTAAGGTGAATCGCTGTGACATCCTTATTCTCGGAACAACTTCGAAACTTTAATTGCACAAATATCAGCTTCTACGACACGTGCAATATTCAAATTGTTACTCCACGTTTGCTGCACTGCAGCATACATGAAGTAGCAATTTCAGGTGAGATTTGTGTAATTGAAAATTCGAAGTGGAAGTGCATGCATAGCTTACGTAGTGGCCATTTGTGGACTCTACAAGGAATCACCTTAAATCACAAAAAATGTAGTTGTGCTCAGAAAACGAAGCTGTTTCAGATGATGTATGAAAAACGATAAATTTTTCTAAACTAAATTAATCAATTATCCTTAGAATTCTCTTCCAAAATTTCCTCAGAACTCCTTAGATGAGTTAACTCCTTTGCAGTTTCATCAAAATTTCCTTTGAATCCTATTCAGGGTTTCTATGAATTCTACTCGGAACTAGAAAAAGCAGATTTCACTTATGTCGTTTTCGTTTTTAAGGTGTAGCTACACCGGTGCTACACTGCCGTACACCGAAATAATTTAGGGTGTAGATGATACACCTTTGTTTACAAACAAACGTTGTTGAGCAGTCAAAGACTCGCGCTTATTCCTGCTTACACTACACCGGTGCTACACCGCAAAAACGAAAACGACATTAATGTTTTCATCACAATTCTTCTGAGAACTCTCTTGGAAAAAGTTCCTTTAAAATTCCCATCATAGTCTTTATTAAGTGAGACATTTTGTACAATTTTTAATCTTGATTATTTTTTATACATAACAATGATTTTGGAAATGAGCAATGTCCGACATCACGAATATTATCTTCGTCCCAGATTGTAGAGAATATTTCAAGCTGAACATTGCATTAGGTCCTAAGTAACATACATATACATATACGATACATTTAAGGATAATTTATTTAAAGAGATACGTCTGCTTGGCTTTGCTAATATGTAAGGACTTTGCATAAAACACCCCTTGGGCGAATCAAATATGACGTCGACTCTTGAGGGGAGGGAGGGGGTCCCAGAATTCCCTAAGATTCCCGGTTTTCCAGGTAGTAGACACCCTGCATTACCTATAACACATATGCCGCGGATATACTTGCATGACAATTTATGAACATGAGCATTATTTGTATAATAAATTATGAGCAAATCCAAAAACTATACAAGTGTGAGCATAATTTATTATACGACCCCGGCGTAGTGGTTAACATCCATACCTCTCACGCCAAAGTCACGAGTTCAAATCTCACCCCCGGACAAGTCACGAATGACCCAAGAGTGTTAAAGTGACTGTAATAATATAAAAAAAAAAAAAAAATATACAAAAAATGCTCATGATCATAGTTGGTCATACAAGTGTATCCACGGCATATGTATCACAGACAAACAGACGTAACTCTTTGAAAAAGTTTTTCTTGAAAACATAGTCCCCCTTATTCTGCGAGTCACGTGACTCTCTGTCACCGGTGAGGTGACAATTGTCACCTCGTGTGAGATGACTCTCCATGTAAATCAAATGGAGAGTCACCTCACACGAGGTGACTATTGTCACCTCACCGGTGAGAGAGAGTCACGTGACTCGCAGAATAGGGGGAGCATCTTAAAACATATGACCTCAGTAACGACATCTCTCGGGCTTCTCGCGGAAAACAAGCTTGCTCGCTAGCTCGCAAACAATATTGCATAAAATTTCTATAGAATGTATAGAAACGTCAAAGTGATCCGATGCCAGCGCTGCGGCGAGTAGTTCGCGGAACTGATAATATTAATATCAACCGTTAAATCGATGATCGAAGATACACAATGAAGAGTTACGTCTGTTTGTCTGTGTATGTATAATAGGTAATGTAGGGTGTCTAATACCTGGAAAACCGGGAATCCTCAGGGAATTCTGGGACCCCCTCCCTCCACTCAAGAGTCGACGTCATATTTGATTCGCCCAAGGGGCGTTTTATGCAAAGTCCTTACATATTAGCAAAGCCAAGCAGACGTATCTCTTTAAATAAATTATCCTTAAATGTATCGTCATGGAACTCACTAACGACATCTCGCGAGCTCTTCGCGGAAACTAGCTTGCTTGCCAAGTCTCAAACAATGTTGCATACAAGTTCGACAGAATGTATGGAAACGTCAAAGTGATCCGATGCCAGCGCTGTGGTGGCGGATTCGCGCAAATAATAATATTTAAATTGAACTTTAAATGCATGTACGACGATTAAGAATTACGTCTGTTTGTCTGCGATATTAACATACTGAAATTGAATGATTATTTTTCTGTTTTAGTTCACCCGCCACCATACACACCACCGTCCTACCCACCGTATTCGTCCGGAAGCCACATTGGTTTCGTACCAGTGGCACCACCGATGCCACCACCACCGCCGTACACTCCAACCCCAGGTTATCCCATTGGCAACACCGGCTCATATCCAGGTAGAATCAGACGTACTCTGTTCATGAAACTATTCTAGTACGTCAGAAAATAACACACAAACACAACAAATACAACCGCAACCAAGCACCCTAGGTACTTGAAGCGATATGACGAATCAAATGAGATTGATTTACAATCAGGCCTATTCTGCAAATTGTTGATTTGCACGCAAAGTCACACGACTCGCAGAATAGCCCTGAATGTGATCATGTGAATATTTTACCACTGCGTGCTCACTAGCCACGGATGCGATCATGTCGCATTGTTTTTGGTGACCTGTAAAATATTCACATCAGCTTTGCATGCAATTTCGAACGATTTTGCAAAACAACTAACGTTAATTTTCGATCACTTCTTCTGTTTCCGGCTTAGGAGCTCCTCCTCATATCCCACCATACGGAGGCTATCCGCATCAACCAGGTTATCCTGCTGCAACACCTTACTCGGTATTTACTGAAGAACTAAAAGCCAAACTAGAGAAAATGTAATCCTAACACTAACCTAACCCACACTTTTGTAATATCTTCTAAACACTTGTGTATATGAATCACTAAACTGTTAATATATCTGGTATTCAAAATTTGAAGAAGCACGTTATTCTCAAAATTCTTACATGGTGGAGGTATTGATTTCGAAAAAAGGCATGCAATATGAAGCCGCTTCCTGCTATGGTCGTGTTTGTCTAAATTGCTTTTTATGTGTACTGTCCAGCCACCCCAGCCTACGGCCCCGTCGTCATCGATGACCAGTACTATCCAAGCTAATCCGACGGCGCCCGTGAGTCAACCGAAAACTGTAAAGGATTCCGTCATCACTGGAGTCCAGCAGACGAAAAACTTCCTACATGATGCCATCTATGGCAAAACAACGACCGCTCCTTCCTATCCCCAACAACCACCGATGCAGCATGTCCCTATTAGCCAACCGGCCTACCCGCCACAAACAGTTGCTTATCCATCCCAACAGGTAGGTCCATCAGCTTTCCGAATCCTCCGAAAGTCTTTTCTCAAAACGCCAAATCATTTCAATAGACCTACGGAGCATATTACCCATCGGCGCCATATCCACCACTGCCAACTGGGCCGCAACATTATAATAGCCCTCAGAAACCATCGGGTGGGCTGCTATCGTCCGGTGCTGGGATTGCAACGGCGGCTTTAGCGTTCGGAGCTGCCGCTGCTGTGCTGCATAAGCTTCCTGTACGTGACGTCAAAAAGGATAAGGCTTCCAAGTTTGCCTGAGCTTGTAATTTGTTTTTATAGTTAACTATAAATGCTTGGGGAAACATTTCTTCGCCTACGCTTGAATCTCAAAACCAGGGTGAAGAAATCGACCCTTAGCTTATCAAATGTGTACGATTTGTTCTGTATCTGTTCACAGAAAAAGGCCAAAAAGTCCAAAAAGTCCAAAAAATTGATGAAGTATGCAGCCGGAGCTGGAGTGCTCGGTCTCGGTGGTTATGCAATCGGGAAAGGGCTTAGACGACGTGGCAGCAGCAGTAGTAGTAGCAGCAGCAGCAGTAGTGATAGTGATTGAGGTCACGTGCACACACTGATGTACCAACAAATATAATTTAGTTGAAATTGTTATTAGAATAAATTACCTATTGAAAATTATTCAAAACCATTTGTGTGAAACAGAAATTCAAACGACCAAACTATACCATTCTCATTCATCACATATCACAAGCGGTTCCATAGTGTAGCGGTTATCACGTCTGCTTTACACGCAGAAGGTCTCCAGTTCGATCCTGGATGGAACCAGAAGTATTTTTTGTATGGAACACCAAGCGTTGCCTTAGGGTTAATGTCCTTAATATTGGGCCCAATTCGAAGGAAAGCAATTTTTAGAATTGGAAAATAGCAACATAATCAGGTAGATCTCTATCATTTGGTATAGTTTGTTTGCGAGATTGAGTTTTTATTCGCGAGAAATCGGCAATTACTCTCAAATCTCGAGTCACAGATTGTTTAAAGGAAGTGAAGAATATGAGATTTTAATCGATGGGCCCAATCTTCAGATCCATAGGCCAACATGACAGCCATTTTCCCTATATTGATCAAGTAATAAAAAAAAATAAAGCCCATTTGAGATTCTTTCCCAATGCGAAACTGCACCTTGTTGGATTTCAATTTGTTTATTCTCCTACGCAAAATTCTGCCTCTCTACTGTAAGCATAAATCAAGTTGTTTGGTCTATTTTGATTGGCAGCTGGTCACCCCATCTACTAACCCTCGCACATCGGTAGAGGTTCCTGGAAAGAAAAGCGTACTCATTCACAAAATTGTACCGCCAAAGCCTACCCTAACAACGCACTCACTTTCCGTGTTTGGAAGCAGTGAAGATTATCTCCTGCAGCTGCCCACTCTCAGTGCACATACGGCAAATCGAATGCTTCGAACGGACAAGGGTCGGCCTTATCAAGCGGGGATAACTACTCTGTTCACTGGGTTTGCCCTTTTTAAATACAATGTATGAATACAGGAATTTGGAAGCTTCACTCGTCTTTCCCAGCGGTAGCGGATTGTAACTCAACTCGAAATTGCACGGAGTTCCATCATCCAGCTTCATTCGGGGACACTGCTGATGATGAGGACACTAGAAATTCATTTTTAATTATTATTTTCCAACCCTCACTCAACAATCTCATTCCTACCGGAGAAAATATGTGATACTCGATTTCGCTGCTCTGAAGCTTCTTCAGTAGAAACTCCCTAGCTTCCTCGATCAACGAGAATCCAGCATAGGAACCCTGCTCCACCAGCACCAGATAGCCGTCGCATTTGTTCCACAAGTTCTCGATCACCTCCAAACGATTCTTTTTCGAGGGAAGCTCAAACAGCGAAAACGCACTCAACACAATGTCGTACTTGTTGTGCGATGCCGGAAGAAACTGCCTGTAGAACACATTTCGCAAACTCATGCCCTTATTGAGTTGTCCTCCGCAGAGAATCAGCTCAGCCAGCTCGTTCATATCAGCGGAAGCATCTATTGACACATACTCAAATATATGCTCCTTCCACAAGTTGGACACTGCCCACGTACCGGTTCCCACACCGGAACCGAAATCGATAAAACTTCGCGGCTTGAATTGCGCGTCACGTTTCTTGATCTCATCGAATATCCTAATCAGAACCGCATATTCAGCGGCTGCTCTTCCTAGCAGGTACTGCAGACTCTTGAACTCATCGTAATTGATCGGCTTCCAGGCGTAAATTTGCTGTTTTGCTCGTTTCTTTGCTTGTGCTTCAATCGCCTTATTGATGTAGATCACCTGTTCTTCTGCTGCAAATTTCCCGGTTGTAATCAATCAGGCAATTTAAATGCACATATAATACTCACACATGGTTGTCACGTCAAGCTTGGTCTTGAAATCGTCCCCAACGGAGTGCCGCAAATCGTTGATCTTTTTTCTGAGCTCATCATGCTCCAAAGGTGCCTTGCGCGATCGTAGGAAGTTGTCCAGCTTGATGCCCTCCGCTAGCAGGGCCTTTACTGGATGATCCTTACAACTTCTGAGTATGGAATTTATCAACGGTTCCGGTACGCTGGTACAACCGGTCGTTAACCGGCCTTCGTGATGTCTTGGTTTGAACTGTCCAGCTTCCAGTGCATGATCGGTAGATTCATTTAACGTTACCGCCGGTTTACTTTTAGATGCCGTGCAAAATGCCCGCTGGAAGTTTGTCTGCAGAATTTTAGTTGTTGTTAAAATACAATGTTTTAAGCAAAATCCTACCTTGAAGTAACAATATATCGATTTATTTCTAGCAAATGTTACGAAGTTTGCCATTATCGTGGGCAAAATTTTGATTCGTCCTGAAGCGCTTCACAATGAGTTTCACAAACAAAGCGCACGCTGGTTCTCGCGATTTTGACGTTTTCCATTTCTCTGGGGGATCACTCAACGGAAAATACGAATTCGTTCCTTTGTAATGTCTTGTACATCGAGGTTACCCGAATATATTGCGATTTAGAGATCTCCCAAGCGCAATCTCACGAACACTAAAATCACAGACAAACAGACATAACACTTGCAAGTTGTTCATCGAACAAGCATTTAACGGACAATTTAAAAGTATAGTATTTGGTAGTACCACCACCTGTGGCGCGCATAGTCAGTTCCCTTGCGTTTGATGTTTACACACTACCGCCATCTGTTCAGTGTAGTGCCCACGACAGTTTACTCAACAGATGTTTTAGCGACGATGTTTTACAGTGAGAAATATTCAATGTGTTATGTCTGTTTGTCTGTGCTAAAATCTTACATCCATGTATAGAGATTAGTCAACAGATTAGTGACGTTTAACGCACATATCGCACCAATAAAACCGGACGTAAAAATCTCTATAAAAATGAAGAAGAAGAAGAACCAAAAAGGTATCGCGATATCATAACTACTTAAAAAGGTAGCGCGTGGTCTCACGCACACTTTTGTGCATCTGGAGAATTCTATACCTCCCTGATTACAAAATGTAGAATAAGTAAAAGTATCAAGAAAAGTATAGAGATTGCTAAAGTGTGATTGTGTCAGTGATTTGTTTTCATCAGGAAAATTTTCAGCTATTAAGTTTTTTTTCCAGATGAAAACATTTTGCGTATACGTATACGTGACGTAGTGTGCGTACGATAAACGTCAGCAATCTCTATGGACGTCTTCCTAATAAAATAACCATAAACGAGAATTTAACGACGTGTGGGGTAAATCCAAATCCGGGATAGAGTTCGTATATGTTATTTGTGTATTAGGGCTGTCAAAAGTTGTTCTGGGTTGTTTAACTTCGAAAAATATACCATTTTTTATACATCATCTGATAGAGCTTCGTTTTCTGAGCACAACGATATTTTTATCGATCTCGTAGACATTCATCTCGATTTTTAAATCAAGAATCAAGATTTAAATTTTTGATCGTTGACACTAAATCTATTCGTTGACAGCTCGCTCCCATACAAAGTCCCACCAAGGGGCGCTAAGGTGGTGATTTTTTCTAATGTAATCGTACTTATTTAAAATAGTTCCAGTGTACCAAAATTCAGTGCCAAGAGGGGCGTAATTGCTTTTGTAAACAATTACTTTAGCCGTCAATTTATCGCGAATGAAATCTTACCTCTCCAAAATTACAATGCTAGCTGGTAGAGGAAACATTCATCTACCTGCTGGTGTCATTATTTTTCATGAGTGCACATTAGCTTTTATTCGCGAGAAATCGACGGCTAAAGCCATTGTTTACAAATGCAATTATGCCCCTTTGAAATGTTGGCACTGAATTGATGAAATTTTGGATTTCGGTTCCATGGAAATACAGGCAAATAGACTTAAGAATTTCATAAGGCTTGACATATGAACAACACATATGAATTTCATAAATGTGACTTATGACAGCTTTTCGTCTAACATGAGGTAGCTCATATATACGCCTTTAGTCATTTCATTTTCTCAAGCGTTGACAGACGAGTGGTCCATACACAGGATCCGTAATCTCAACGTCCAGTTCAGTTCCAGTCTGCTCCGTTTTATTATTTTGTTGTCGACATTATTTTTCATAACCCGCATAAGCGCGAACCATAAATTGACCTTACCTAAAATGGTTAAAATTGTTTATAATCCCTGCTAAACTTCAACTGAAATGGTTATGGAACTTTACATGAACGTTTAATGATAAAGTTTTAACCTTAAGTATTATAGTTTTTTGAAAGTGGACCTTACAAATAATGGGTTGTTAAGAACCATTACCATTTAAAATTCTTGTTTTCTCCATACATTTTCGGAAAGAAAACTATACTAAAACCTTTTAACTTATGGTTTGAGAACATTAATGGTAATGGTTATGGTAACCAGTAAGGTCCATGAATGGTTTTGTAACATCGATCAACTTTATGTGGAATGTATCGCGAATTGCTTGCCTGTAAATTACTGATTACCAATTCACGATATATTTCACGTAAAGTTGAGTGATAATACAAAACCATTAATAGACCTTACTGACTACCATAACCATAACCATTAATGTTCTCAAACCATAAGTAAAAACGTTCTAATATAGTTCTCTTTCCGAAAATGTATGGAGAAAACAAGAATTTGGAATGGTAATGGTTCTTAACAACCCATTATTTGTAAGGTCCGCTTCCAAAAAACCATAATACATAAGGTTAAAACTTTATCACACAAACGTTCATGTAAAGTTCCATAACCATTTCAGTTGAAGTTTAGCAGGGATTATAAACAATTTATAACCATTATCGGTAAGGTCATGTGATGGTTCGCGTTTATGCGGGAAGGCAAATAAATTAAATTCATACCCATTTCTTGAGGCTTAAATTGGGTTCTTTAGGGATTTTAAGGTAATTGGATATTCGTAATCTGCATCACAAATGGAACCGAAATCCAAAATTTCATCAATTTTGAAACGCTGGAACTGTTCTTCACCATGTTCACCATCTTAGCGCCCCTCGGTGGTACTTTGTATGGGAGTGAGCTGTCAATTTGTTAGTTTTGTGTCAAACAGTGAAGTGATTAGTTTTCTTTAAAACTTGATTTACAAAATCAAGATAGAAGTAAATGGGATCGTAAAAATATCGTTGTGCTCAGAAAACGAAGCCCTTTCAGATGACGTATAGAAACCGATATATTTTTCAAAATTAAAGAACCCAATTCATAAGTGGTTCTTATGAAATTCTTACGTTCTTTTGCCTCAGTGTACGTGTCGTCAATGCAATGAGCTGGATTACCGAGGTTAAGTTGTGTGAGTGAATCCACTGTACGATACAAGCAATTAGTGACGTCATCACACCATCATCGTGTAGGTAGAAGTTTCCCCTATCCGATGATGGTGTTGGTTTGCGTGGGTGGTCTTCGCTTTGTGAGTATAGGGCTTTGGAACGGTTTGTTTACAAATGCTGATGGGCCCTTTTCTATTGTTGATCCAGATATATACAGCATATATTGCCCTAATAAACAAATACAATAAACAAACTGTATTTTGGATGGGTAACTATCCCACAAATGGTTTGGACGAGGGTTTGGATGATACCTCGAACCAGTCGTTAAGCTTTCTTTTATGGTTATTTTTATTAGAGTTGTGCGATATGTGAGAGCAGTTAGTGAAAATACGTAACAAATCGATGTCAAACTCATTTTGACAGATCTAATTTCATACAATTTTTAAGGTTAGTCAGAGGAAAATAATAAACAACTTCACACGGCGATTCTGGCATAGAGGTAACTCCACAAACGAAGTGACAGACGACTAACTGGCGAAGAAATCAATTAAAATAATGTGGTTCGCTGTAATAGAATTTTCTTAGAAGCTTGTGCCATCATCCACCAGATGAGATAGTATTTTTGTTTTGGTTTTGCACAAAATTGATTTTGTGTACAATGATTCTTTGACAGTGTGCAAAGAGTGTATCATTTAGTTATTTTTTATGCATTTCAGTTTTGAGTAGAGTGAAAGAGATAAAACCAAAACATTCTAGTACATTTGGTGAAAATGCTAGTTCATTCCAGTAGTAGTGTTGGCATGTGGTACAATCCAGTAGTAGTGGTGTTGCCATGTGGTACACTGAAAAATTGCAATAGCAGGTTAGTCACCAAAGTTTTCGAGCCGCTCCGTCTGTCACTTCGTTTGTGGTAACTCTAAGACCAGAAGGTCCCGAACTTTTTTGCTCAGCTCTGGTACTATCTTCGGTCCCAAGCTAATCTATGCACCCCTCGAAACATAGGAAAATCCACGAACCCCTCATTTTATCTGTCAAACTTTCATAGTGAATCAAAACAAACATTGCGTAGTACTAGAATTTCGACTAGAATGGGATATGTTAATCGTTTGCTAGAATGGGGTACGTTAATCGTTTGCTTGGGCCAATAGGCTAGTCAAGTAGTGAACCAATTTAAAATCGTTAGTTTCGTATTGATTGTTGATGCTAGTGTGCGTGCGTTAAACGTTACTAGTCTCTACACGGTAACCGCAAAATACCCAATAATAACTACAAAGTAAGCATTTTCGAGGGAGACTGGGACTACCCATTAGATGAGTAAACATATTACCACAGACAAACAGACGTAACTCTTTGAAATTTTTTTTTCATGAAAACATAGGATCTCAAAACATAGGACCTCAGTAGCGACATCTTTCAGGCTTCTCGCGGAAAACAAGCTTGCTCGCTAACTCGCAAACAATATTGCATAAAAGTTCTATAGAATGTATAGAAACGTCAAAGTGATCCGATGCCAGCGCTGCGGCGAGTAGTTCGCGGAACTGATAATATTCAAATCAACCGTTAAATGCGTGAACGAAGATACACAATGAAGAGTTACGTCTGTTTGTCTGTGATATTACCCATTTATGAGTATTTGTTACTCAAAAACGAATACGTACTACTTATTTTTGTAGTTGTAGTTACTCATAAATGGGTTAAATTTTACTCATTTAATGGGTAGTCCCAGTTTCTCTCGAAAATGCTTACTTTGTAGTCATTATTGGGTATTTTGCGATTTCCGTGTACTTTAGAATCCACGCCCTAACCAAATTGTTAAGGTTATTTTGCTTAACGACGTGTTCGAGGTATCATCCAAACCATTTGTGGAATAGTTCAATTATTTGGCTTATCGTTCGTTTATGGTATTTTTTATTAGGGCTATACTCAAGTCAAGTGTGCGTATTATATAAATCTCGATGAACATTTCAAATGGTCCTATATGCTTTGATCGATTCTCTTCATAGACTTTCTCTTTTCATAACCACTGCTATGCAAACAGATTTCGCGCTAATTCTACCACATAGTTTGATAAAGGAGGTTCTTATCTAGCGTCCAAAACGTCAAATACAACAGGAAAAGGTTTTGCAGCTGAGTTATTGACGAAAGAGAAAGTCGATGAAGAGAATCGATCAATGCAGATAGGACCTTTTGAAATGTTTATCTAGAAATGTCAGAAAGGTCAATTACCGAACCGGAATCAGCAGCTATCAGTTACATAGACCCCTCGACGTACGAACACGGAGAGCCAAAACAAAAAACCAACACCAATTTGACATTTTTACAAACGTAACCTCGTTTATGTCCATTTAGCCGAACTTACATCAAATCTGTCGTTTATTCTCGATTATTCATTCATTTGCTTCACATTGCGACGCAATGCAGGATAGGTAGCATACGTTTCTGCTCGGTGAAATTGTTTTGCACGTAAATAATTCACATTTGGATTCTATAATTAAATGCAACAGTAACTTAGTCTTCCGTTGCAGTTTCCTAGTACGAAGCAAAGTATCCAAGCATTCAAAGCGCAACATGGCAGTATACCACGACGAGGTCGAAATCGAGGACTTCGAATACGACGAGGAGGAAGAGATGTACTACTATCCGTGCCCATGTGGGGATCGGTTTCAGATTAGCAAAGAGGAACTAATCGCCGGCGAGGAGGTGGCTACCTGTCCGAGCTGTTCACTGATAGTGAAAGTGATCTACGATCCGGAGGCGTTCCAAGCCGAACAGGACGAGACGGAAACGGTCACGGCGGAGCGGGACAAGGAAACGGTTTGTGAGTAATCGAACTCGTTATGCCTTTTTTTTTAATGGATAGAGTTAAGGACTACTGATAACCGCCGTTACGCTTAAAAATGTTTTGTAAATATAGGAGCCAGATTGGGAGAAGTCACGGTTTTGCTTGTTTTGAGAAAGAACGATTTCATGAAGATTTCGGATGGTGGAAGGTTCCACATTAAAAATTTTACAGTATATATTCGGAGGAATACCTATTATAAACAGTACAAAGTATATTAAGAATATGCTCAAAATAGAGCGTGTTGGAAAGGTACTAGATATAAACAAATCGTGAAATAAAAATCAAGTGGCAAAACTAAAACTTAAATAAGTCCAAATGTAGAAGTCTTATAGAAATGAGACTCGGTCTTTGCTTCTGCCTCGCGTTCGCCTGTCTTTGTCTGTTAAAAACAAGATTTTGTGTGAAATATATTAACATGGAAAGCAACACAAATTTGTTACACTTACCTTTCTTGCCGTTGTCGATTTTCACCGGCGAGCATATCTGATCTCGAGCTTCTTCCTCTTCCTCGGCAGCTTTCACAGAAAACCGTAAGGTTCTTCGCCGCCTTGGCTTTGACTGTTCCGGTTCTTCTTCCTGTTCCTGCTGGTGCTCTTTTGGAAAGAGTGAACTGCACCGACGTTTCCAGATCTCATCGTCCAGCTTGTGCGGGGTGTTGAGCGAGATCGTTTCCACATCTTCCACCTCCAGGTCATCGTTGAAGGTGATTTTGGGTTTTGGAGTGTGAACTATTTTGCGTCCAGCGCCAGATGGACGTGCCTCCGGTGTGTCCATGCCGGAATCCAAGAATAGGACGCTCTTGGCGCGACGCTTTTCGCTGGGTGTTTTCAAAATCGATTTAACAATCTCGTGTTTACGGAGGGTGTGCTGTGGATGAGTTATTGGGTGAGTTTTGAATACAAAAAAAAAACGAAAACATTGTGCACATCAATCAAGTCGAAATGAACGAAGAAAGAATGCATTTCAAAGGATCATCGTTCTTCACATTTTACGTTGACAGTGATTGCTTAATGAGAGCAGTGAATGATTGTGGTTGAGAATGCAGATTTTAATATGCTGCAAAAAAAAAAAAATACGTAACCACAGACTTAGCACTCGTTTAGCATCGAGTCGACCTAAAATCACACAACTTTTTCGACATGGTTGATGTACACCGTTTTCAGTTGCGATTGATAATCAACAAATTGCTTACATCGTTGAAGATTGTTTTCCTGGACTTCTTGCCGGGCGTTGGGGTGCAGCCGGTACAAATGCTATTCCGGTTTAGGCTGCTTCGCCGTGGAGTGGTAGCAATCCGTACGGAACGTTTCATCGGAGTGACCACCTTAACCGTTTCCGTAAGTGCTGCTGCCATCATGACTTTCTTCTTGGCTTCTTCGCGAGCCTTCTTGATCAAATCGGCAAGTCCACTGCCTTTGGTCTTTATGGGTTTCTTCTCACGCTTCTTGATGCCACCGCCATTCTTGATCTTTTTAGCTTTAGGCTGTTCCACAATCTCCTGCCAGTTGTTCTCCTTTAGTTGTCGCAATTCTTCGAAGCGTCTGTCCAGATTTTCCAAGTCCAGCGACACCATTAGCCAGAAACCATCGAGGTCGTCCGTTCGAATCTTCTGATCGGACCAATTGCGCTCGTAGTGACCAACTAGCTCTTTGAACTTCGAAAGCTTCTTATTGATTAAAATGTTGGTTTGGCCTTGAGCTGCAATAATCAATCCCTTGCCGTTTTCATTGATCTCTTCGTTCTCGAGATCCCCTTTGTACAAATCACAAAGCTCTTGCAGTCGCTTTAACTCCTTATCCACTAAATTGTAGTAGAAGACAACTTTTTCGCGAACGTCAGATGGAGGTTGATCTTCTTCGCGGAAGGTGACCAGCGAGGAACGCCTGCTTCCGCCGCTGCTGCGACGCTTTGGTTCTTGTTGTTTATTTAGAAGAACCGTAGCAAGATTACCTTCCGGAAGAGGCCTCGTCATTGTCGGAATGTCTTCCTCCACGAAACTCATTCTTGGGGTTAACGATCGACGTCGTGGACTCATTTTGGGCGAGTCGAAAATTTCAATCGTCGCAATTTTGGGATCATCGATCTTCTCCTCCTTGAAGATCAACGAACTACGCCTGTTGATCACTTGGGTCGAGTCCATGCCAGAAATGTGAACACCCGGAGCATTGGTTTCTTCCACAAACACCAACGACGGTCGTCCACAACATGAATTCCTTCCACTGCCTATCAGTTTGGGGGAATCGGACTTCGGTGGTGTCTCGTCGATCGTTGGTCGCCGATCAAGAAGTTTTTCTTCTTTCATTTCGACCGTAAACGATTCGTTAAGCTTTGAAAGTGTTTCTGGATTGATGGCTGCTCCCACTCCGGAATCATCATCCGAAATGGTAATCACCTGCGGTTCCCAAGCGTCCTCCACGGTGAAAACCATCGACCGCCGTCTAGTCTCACGCTTCTTCATGGCAATGGCCTCCGAATCCAGGGCTTTTTTCTTCGGGGTCGGCGTGTCAACGTCAATCGGACTGATACCGTCGAAGAGATCATCATCATTAAGATTAACCTTCGGTGAGAAGCGCGGGACTTCAATATAATCCGGTGCATTTGGCCGATTCAACTTGTCCAAGCTCTTGTTCTTCTTGCGGTTAGTCGATGTGACCATTTTGCCATCCTTGGTGAATTTAAACATAAATTGCATGGACTTCTGTCCCGAACGAACCTCCAAGTAGCGCTGAAAAATTAAAACCTGAATTACTATCTGCAACCCAAACGTGCACCGACATGTTTTCCCCAAAATAAAATGCATTCAATTACCATATTGCCGCTGCAACCAGCTGTCGCTGCATCCCCCTTTTTGTACAAAACTGTTGCCGTTGGTGCAATCGCCTTCGAAGTCTTCTTAGCAGTAATATTTTTGATTTTGGGCACCGTTCCCGTGCCTCCTGCCCTCCTGGGCTCTTTCTTCTCCGTTGGCATAGGAGTGGTTCCTTTGCGCCAAGTATCCACCTTCGGTTTAGCATGCTTGATCGAAGTTGGGGTTTTAACGGCGAGAATATTCCTCCTGGAACGCTTCTTCTCATTTGTAACCGGATCTTTTCTGCGCGTATCAACCCGAGGAGTGGCATGCTTTGCAGCTGGCGTCAACAACTTCCTCTGTTCAGCCAATCTCTTCAGTTCCTCTTCCGATTTTTTGAACAGGTTCTTCTCATACTCTTTATCGACCAAATTGGTCTTCGAAACCACCGATACGAACGGCTTCTTTTTAACGGTATTTTGTTTGGCCTTGGCTCGCTCCTCCTTGAATTTCTTCAACCGAGCCAGCCGTTGCTCATACTTCGACATGTACTCATTTTCCTTATTCTCCTCGTTCCTTTGGGAACGTCTACGTTTCTTACCGCTGCTGCTCAGCCTCGGTTTAACGACATTCCGATGGAAAACCTCATCGTGGTCATTTTCATCATCGGATGCATTTAAATTTCTGTTTGTGAAATGCAAATCCTGCCGGGAGCTTTCCCTTTTTGATCTGAGCAGCTGGTTGTTGCCATCCTTCAAACGGTTTCCACGGGAGGCGTTCTTGTAGAACCCTCGGAACTCCATCGCTATTTGCGCACACGTAATTCACTTCCTTGCACTATTTTACACAACAAATAATCACGAAGAAACACTTTTGCATTAGATATTCAAATGATTATTCAACATGAACCATTTTAATCCAAACGGTTTATCGATTGTTTTGAGGATTGTTTCGATCACGGTGGCGGCGGCTTTTGAACGAACGCGACTGCTGTGTGATGTGATCGGCTCGCAAGCACGAACGTTATTTTTCAGCCCCATCTACACTTTTGTTTGCGCGGTATTTGAATGAACTCCGACAAAGATGCGCAAGGCACGAACATGATGTCGGTGCAAATTAGGGCAAATTTTCAATACGACGTAAGTTGCAAATGAATACCAAATTCACGATTACGAAACATCCCGCATCTAGGCACCTAATACAAAGGTGCCACAGTCGGAAGAAGTGTTAGTTTGTTTACTAAAATAAATCGCCCATTTTGTTATGGCAAGTTTTGCTATAAGAAATGCTCCTCGTGTTTATTAGCGAAATTCACATCAAAGCTAGATTAATTGCGTAGGAAATCAGTTTAGCACGGCATTTGTGACCAGCATACACCTTCCAAAACAGTCCAAATCCGCAGATAAAAAAATTTGTTTTGAATTTTTGTATAGCACAATAGTGAACTTTTCGTGAACATTAACGGCAAAGAACTCACCAACACTGGGAGACCGTGAGTTCCTGCCCATCTGTCATAAAACCGTCTCGATCCCGCATAATTATTTATCATTTTTTATAAAGGTGTTCACGATTATTCGATCATTAATTTAATGGTTGCCAATACGCAACATGTATATATTCCATATGATATTTCAAAACAGTAGGGAAGAGCGCTACTTCGTCGTAATCGCCCATTTCCGTTCTATCGGGCAGAAATCATCAATAATATCAATGATTTCACCATGCACAACACAATAGTACGTTTGTTCCGATGCGTTAGTTCATTAGCTACAACATAAATCCTATTAGAGCGCATTGTATGAATATTTACGCTCATTATTCTCAACACAACAGAAGCACTCTGAGAGAATCCCCTTTTTCTACGTTTATCCGTAGGACGAAGAAAATCTAATGGCGTTTCAATGCGTTCGGACGGAATTGAAACTCGTAGGACGAATTTAGAATCAAGAAGCAGTGTTAGATTTTTAATAATATCTCAACATTGTTTGACACTTTATCAAATCCAACGTTACGTATGGAAAGGTGAATAAATTTAGAAGTTATATTTGATGAAAACATTCCATTTTTTGTTCAAACCCAATCAAAAAAGAGAGGTAAAGTGCGGGATGTGCTTAGTAGGACGGAAATTAGATAAAAACCCCTATATTGATCTTAAAGATTACCATTACTATTAATCCGTTAACGCCCTAGTCGTTTATGACTTTCGGACAATGCACGATTTTTCCAAGGATTATTCTCTCACTATTTGAAAACAAGATGTTAAGTATATTCCTAGGATCATTCTAGTGATATTGAAAAACATAATTTGCGTTACCAATTTCTGTTAAGATATGATAAAAGAAAAAAAAAATGCCGATCTATAAATAGAACTGGGCGTTAATGGGTTAAAGTTCACGAGCTACAGAAATAAAGGTTTAAATAAAGTTGTTTAGAAAATGTATGAAGAAAACAAGAATTGTGAATGGAAATCGTTCTTAACAACCCATTATTCTTAACGTCCGGTTCCAAAAAATCATAGAACATAAGGTTGTAGCTAAACCAAGGTTTAAGCGAGGGCTTAAGCAAAGAGATACTCTAAGACCAGAAGGTCCCGATGAAACGTGCTCAAATTTTTGGCTCAGCTCTAGTACTCTCTTCGGTCTCAAGCTAATCTGTCAATCTTTCATAGCGAATCAAAACAAACATAGTGTAGTACTGGAATTTCGACTAGAATGGGGACGTCGCTAATGAATGGCACTGAAAAAAAGGAGTACATACGGCATTTTTCGATTTTTGTCTAATAGACAATATTTTTTTTCATACCATGTACGTGAAATTCACCTAATATCGTCGAACATGAAAATCACGTAACTGAACCACCCTAATAGGAAAGGTACCAAGAAACTCAAAGACCAAATCGATAAAGAGAATCGACCATCGCAATTAGGCCTATGATTCTAAACGCTACTAAGAGCATTCTTTCAAACGTTCTCAACGAATTTCTTTATCATTAGGTAGGGGAATTTACGTATTCTCGTCAATCTAAGCAGCGTCCGAACATCTATTGACGATTTCTCAGCGTCACACACATACATGACAGGTTTGTTTGTTGACATTGATCTGCTGCTTGCTGTCCTACCAATTCCAATCGACAGAACTATTGTCGGCAGTCTCTTTTTCTTCGGCACCCTTTCCATTTGAACTGCGTGTTAACCAACTGTTCTATTATCGGCAACTCGAAATCAGCCGTATTTTGTAGTGTGTGTATTTCATTTAAAGAAAAATACAGCAGAACAGGATTGCACAGTCGTAAAAATGTAATCAGATTGAAGCTGAGAAGGTAAGGAATCGGTTTAATACATTCAGCGAAGAGTTTTGATGGGAAAATACAGTGAAATAAACGTTTCAATTTCGGTTGCCGAAAACAGTCAATGGGTGCCGAAGCCATAATTTACCCTATTAAGTATATTTTTTTTATTAGCTTGTTCTACTTACTTTCTTTCGGTTTTTCGGGAGATTTCTTTTTATGACTTTCTTAATCCTCCCTCCCCCAGTTAGTATTGTTTCGTTCGAACCGTATTTTTCATTCAGTTTTTTTTATGTATGAAATAACGGTTCGAACGAAAGCGAGAATATGAATGATTATAGTTTTTTTTATATATTACTAGCTGAACCCCGTGCGAGCATTGCTACGCTTGCAACTAAATGAACGAAAATTTAGTAGAATAGTTATGCAGAAATTTATGTTTCATTTGTATGGGAGCCCCCCTTACGGAAAGGGAGGGGTCTCGAACCATCATAAGAACCTTTCCCGGCCCCAAAAACCCCTGCATACAAATTTACACGCCAATCGCTTCAGTAGTTTCCGAGCCTATAAGGGTCAGACAGACAAACAGAAATTATTTTTTTTATATGTACGTATATATTATTATTTATACTGCTAGGATATTATTTTAGTGTTTCATTTCAGTTAATAGATAGGTAGCTAATACATTTTATCGATAATTAAAAAAAGACAGATGAACAAAATGAAAACAAATGAATAATTCAATGACAATTTTTGCTTCTAAAGATAGTTTAGAATCGTAACTGGTAACCTATTATCAGTTCAAAACCGACGCAACGAAATGCTTTGAACGCAAGACTTCTCATCAACTCGTATCTCGATGAGACCCCACTGTTTCAATTTCAACAAATATAGGAAACGCTTTGCACAGGACACTCTATCAATGCTGATAATTTGCGCCAGATTATCCATCGAAACTGAGTTCCGCTTAGAAAACGCTATTTCACGTTGAATTGTTAGATAAAGATTCATGATCTGATGAAAACAAACAATCAATATTAGGACCATCAAAGTAAAGGAAAATAAAAGTTTCTACTTACCGAAGCCAGTACCTGGAAGAAAAGAAAACGGGAGTGGACATTAGATTTGCTGCCAACTTTCTTAATCTGACCCATAAGCTACAGCCAAGGCGATTGAAGTAACCAAACACTCCCAAACAAATCCCACATTTTCTAATAATTATCACATGGCTCCAACCAAGGTATGAAATTCCGTCCAAAGCATACACATTATCCATTTACTAGTAGCTCTCTTTGCCCTAGTTTATGCATACCTTAACTGCGACCTCACAGTCAGCAGTAAAAGCGTAAAACCTTTTTCTTTTTCCTTATTTTGAAACCCTCATAATTGTTGCCGCATGTGCGCTAATAACAAAACCTATTCTCCAAACATCACACTAACGTCACATTCCATACCAACTCTGTAAACTGTCCTTTCAGGTCTTTGTTCAAATAAAATCATTCCCAGTTAAAACTCCATAGGCGACTAACGTCACCTATAATATCCAAAGTCCGGTTATGCCACAAGATCCTCAACTTTTCGGTCCGCCTCATGTTTGGAAATCTACCATTAAATAGTCAGTTATTATTCAAGCTTCTCCGTGTGCTCATTACTCTCGGGGAAATGGCTCTATTGTTGGCCTAGTTGCGCATACCCGTTTTTAAAGGTTGATTTTTGTCCCAGTCTTGTGTTCTGTCGTCAATATTTTGCCATTTTGTCTTGTGTATCAAACCCAACTTGCATATCTATTGTCCTTCCCCATCTGTTTTTAAACTCGTCCTGTTACGCTGTTATTTAATTTTCATTTTCATTTTGCAGTGTAGGGTGGGGTAGTAAGAGCGCAAGTCAATCCATATTCTGTTGTGGGAGAGCTTGAGGATAAACCCATGATTTTCTGCTCAGTAAGCAAAAATGATTCCTCCAGGGTCATCGAGCATCTCAAAATCACAACACTCCACGACAATGATTAAGTTTCCGTTTGGTATGTAATGAACAACAGAGATCCGCGATAATTCATATAGTTTCTGCGGTTGATGGTTAACAAGCTAATACCAGTGAGATCAATACTAAATAAAGACAATTGCATAACAATCCGAACTCCCACTACCAACAATCAACAAATTCCTGACCAGCATCATCCTATCATTACTTAATGCATTTTCTTTCTTCCCTAAAATTCACTTGTTAGCAAACATATGATCGAAGATCTGATTACTATTTGTTTTGAGTGAAATAACAGCTTCCACTTTCACATAATATTGCCTATAACTACAAATAAACAAAATGGGAAGATTTATTCTACATAAATATGTAGAAGGCATAGTTGCCTTCCTATGCGGACCCGGGCATCCTATTCTTCCCACGAGATCAGCCTAAAAGTAATATTTCTCTCTATCTTCTTATTATGCTACCTTTCTACATTGATCCGCAAAATTTATCTTGTCTTTGTCTGTCTTAAGTAACACTTTTCTGTGATAAAATGCTTCATTTCGAGATTAGTTTCCTAAGTATATTTTGTTTAGGGTGAGTACTTCCATCACGGCCACTTGACTCCATCCCAACGCACCCTGTCATGGTAAATGGTATTCCCAAATGCCACAACCGAACAGATAACAGGACACACAGCCATAATGGAAGTATTCACCCTTTTCGAAAATGAAGCAATACATAAATTATGTATGATACCAACTGCAATATAGGTATTGTTGGTTATTCATTCAATGGTAATCATTGAATGAAAAACAATTAAATTACGCCACGCAATTGAAAAGTGCACTTTTTAGTCGTTTTTGCTAAGGGACTGTTCATAAACTACGTAGACCTATTTTTAGAGAATTTAGACCCCCGCGTAGACAATCGTCCATACATTTTTTTTAAATTGTATTTTTTTCAATTGTATGGACCGTAGACATTTGTCAACCCCCCCCCCCCCCCCTAATAATTCAGCTGCAAACACATTTCTTGATTCTTGTGCCATTCTGGATGCTAGATGAGAACCTACTTTATCAAACTATGTGGAGAAATAGCGCAAAATCTGTTTATAATGCTGTGGCTATCAAAAGAGAATCGATCAAAGTCACTTACACCCCTCTCCTTCTAAACCCCTCAATAGAACTTGAAAGCCCGGAAGATGGTTATTTTTTTTTAAGCAATTTTGGCAAAACAAAATAGGTAACAGAGAATTTGGCAACGAGAGAGCACACACTTTTTCAAAATAATAACCATAACGTGAATAAGGTGTTTCACCAAGATAATCATGCGCAAGAAGGGATGAGCAAGCAAGTTCCAATAAACCAGAGCCTCTTACCTCATTGTTCGCAGTAATCTTCACCGCATCACCGGTCTGCTCCACAGGTTTGTTACCACTCAACTGATCCTGACCTGAGACCACAACCGGCTGAACGTGTGCTTCTTGGCCGCTTACAATCGGTTGTTCAATCGCTGGTTTCTCGCTAACCGGTGTCTCACGATGCAACATGCTACCGTTGTCGGTTGACGTGTCAGTAATTACGACTTGTGGAATCGTAAGACTTATAGATGTATCTTGGAAGGTCGTTTGATTCCCAAGACCCGTATCCAAAGCCCGGCTGGCATCACCGAGGGAAACATAAGGCAAATTTGGAGACGGAGGAACAACTGGCACTGAAATTGAGCGTTCAGTTGCTTCTGCACCAGACACCGACAGAGACACGTGCTGAAGTTGTTGCTCTGGAAGCTCCTCTTGTTGTGGACGCTCGTAGATAGGAAACAAGCGCGATTGGTTTGGTTCACGGATTGAACTGAGCTCGGCTTGGGTGGTTGAAACGTCACGCAGGACCGGAAGCCCTTCGATGCCGGCCGGAAATGATTGACGTGGTAGTGGAACTGCACAGGTAATCCATTGCATCAACTTCCGCATCGCTTCAAACTTTTCAAGGTCGTCACAACCATAGTCAAATTCAAACTGTGTTCTTAACTTCATTCGTACGATAACGGAGCTCTCACCGTAAGTGGGAACTTTTCTGTGCGATTTGCGAGCGTTGCGAGGGCGTTCGACGGGACGTTCCACGGACGAAGATGATTCGGTTGATACTGACTTTGGTGCAAGGGCAACCACATTTTGCTGTTTCGATTGTATTGGTTCCGTTGCTGGAATTGACTCCGAAGCAGTGATTGGCATCGGCTCTAATGTCTGTTCCGCTGGTTTAGTATATCCCGGTTCTTCTTGTATGGGTACAACATTCGATGGGACCTCTTCCGTGGGAACAGAAGCACTTGCCTTGTTAATTTCCACAACCTATAAAAATCGAATTGATTGATTAAAATTTTCGTAATCATGCTTTATTATTCATCCCATACCTGAACAGAAGTGTCATCCTCTGCAAGTGCTGCTACCAAATCCGTCGGTGTCGGACCTTTGATTGCACTGAGATCCGTGTTGTACAATCGCCCAAACCGGTCGGGAACTCTCCGAACGGCAGTGGTAGGAATTGCAGCAATAGGTGTCGAAAAACTTATCCCGGTACCCAGAGGGGGTGGCATCAGCTGAACTTCTGGCAATGGAACTTCATCCAGATCTTCGAACCTCCCACCAACATCCGGTCGTCGAAGGCTTGGAAACTCCTGCAGCAATTTGTTTCGAACATCAGCATCACTGAGAGGCATCGGGCTGTCTACTCCCAGGAACGCTCCAGCATCTCCCGGTGGACCCAGGTCCAATTCCCCGATGCTTTCACGAATAAGTGGCTCCCGCACGAGCGGTTCTTCAAGGAGCAGTTCTCTCGGAGGCATCGCCTGGGAGAGATCGATCATGTTCAGGGACACATTCAGATCGTCCACTGCCCGTTCTATGACATCCGTCAGTCGTCGAGAGATTTGCTGTTGCTGCTGCGGCGGCGGTTCGTCATTCCTTTTCTCAATGTCTTCTAGCACTTGCCTAAGATCATTGTCATCTTCCCGCGCTATCCCCGGAATTGAAGCGTTTTTCACTTCAGTAATTTCCTGTTCCAATGCCCTGGGAGCTGGAACGTAACGGATCACAACGGGCGGCGCTACCTCTTGCTGCCGTTTGTCACGGATCCGCTTCTGTGCGCGCTCGGACTGTCCTGAAAACGAAAAAAAACTAAGTCATAAGTCTTATTCTAAAGTCTCATAAAAAAATAATAGCAACTTCCGAAACCACAATAAAAAACCTACTTTCTAACAGTTGATAATATTTCTCCAGTTGGACAACCTCCGCTGCCGAGAGTTGTTCCAGCTGCTCCGAGGTAAAGTTGTTACGCTGATAATCCCCAAACGACGTAGAGCTACAGGCATACGAACACAAATTAAAAAAAAAAACCGTTGTGAAAACTAATAATAATTAGTATATTAACTTAACATGTAGATACTTACGCCAGCTCATGATACTCCCGATCGGTCAGAAGGTCCGTTTTTCGAACCGGTTTTGGTGTCCGGAGAAGCCGTTGAAGCACTTTTTTGGAGCTCATTTTGAAGAAAATCCGGAATGCTGCAGGCAAAACAAACTTCGCTATCTCCTGTTCACGTCAATCACGCCTGTAATGGGCGATCTTGATTCGCAAATCGATTTTCGTTTCGTTTTTCCTCCAGTGGTGTCAGATTCCTCGGAGGATGTTATGCACAGCAAGAAAAAAAAATAGCTGTGCGCAAACTCTTATAAAATTACGGGTAAATCTTTTTGGGTGTCTTCGGACCAAAGAATAAGTGCACCGCACTCGATAATAAATGAAAGCAAAAGAGCTTACATAGTATGCAAATTCCCCTAATAAACAAATACCATAAACGAACTGTACCCCATATGGGTAAACTATCTCACAAATTGTTTGGATGATACCCCGAACACGTCGTTAAGCTCTCTTTTATGGTTATTTTTATTAGTGTCCCGCTTGACCTTATTTAGTCAGAGCCATAATTACTTCGGCAGTAGTCATGCATGATTAAAAATAATTTGAAATAATCATTTGTGATAAAAATTTATCGTTTCAGTATTATATTTTATTATTTTAGAATATTAATATATAATTAAAAATGAGAAACTACGAGGGGGACGACTCTAGCTACGATGCAGAAAAGATTGTGTTTTGCTGTGGCTAGCTGCGCGCACACTGAGTAGATAGAAAGATGAAGATTTCCTGTAAAAAGATGATGCGCGATGCAAGTAGATGCGACAAATGAAAAAAATATTTTTCGAAGATTGATTCGCTAGTGTGAGATATGTTGAGCATCTAATTTTGAGATTTAGATGTGTCGCCCCCCTCGAGAAACTACTTATACAGCTTCTATTTATTAAATGCTTGATATAACGATTGCCAGCAACGTCGGCTGGGCGTATCCTATGGCTTACCGTCCCTACACACAAAAAACAAAAATTGTATCAATAAAAATCATACATTTTCAAAATAAAAGTTTCCCGACTTTGATAGTTTTAAGCACGAAAATTCTCAAAATGAAAGTATTTGATTTGTTTTGAAAGTTTATTTTTCATTTTCAACTTGTATTTTTAAAAGTGCATATTTTTAAAATGAAAACTGTTTAACTGTCAAAAACACCTTGTCATAGCAACGTTTTTGGCAGCACTGGACATAGATTTGCCGCTAATTTTAACCTTGACGTCAAAATTTGCAAATCATGTTCTTTGTGTGGAACGAAACTAGAAGCATAAATTAAATTCGTTAGATATTCAAGGCAATATTCTTACTTGCCGGATTGCTGGTTTTGCCGGATATGTAGTTCGCACGCGGTGACATCAACAGTTAAAATTGTAAGTATTTAATTATCAATATTGTTGCATCAAGTAAACTTTATTTTATTTCCAGACGATGAAATCTACCGTTGTCATCAATAGGTCCGAATCAATAATCGGCGGAAAAAATCCATCTGGGTTCCGGATTCCATCCAACCTCGTCGGTGATCCAACTTTTGTGATAAAGCAGAACAATGACAACGATTTTATACTCGCTGAGAGCCTATGGATAATATTTGTTATATTTTACAATACGTATATTCTTGCGGATATTAATAAATATATTTGAGGTTATTTTTTTAAATTCATAAAAAAATAATTAATAGAAATAATACTTATAAAAAATTAAAATCAAAATTGATATTGTAATGTTGAAAATGCTCGAATTTAAATTGAAAATACTTATGTTATAGATTCAAAACGGCACATGTTATTTCAACTATACCAAACTTTCATGACAAAAGTTTGATTCAATACAAAAATAATCCACTTTTAATTATAACACTATCATGCTTTTCATTTGACAGAACTACAATTCGTTTTGAAAGTTTCAACTTTTAAAAGTAGCATGCACGCAACTTTTGAATTGACAGTTAGCTAACTTTTGTTTTGAAAGCTAAAGACTTTCTACCAAAAAGAACCAACGAAAACTTTTAATTCTACCAATGGTTTTTTCAGTTGTACTAACGATAATTTTTTGTGTGTACTAACAAAGAAAAAAAAATCCACCCTTCCCGTGACACTTATGAGGGGTCGTACACAGCAAAAAAAAAATGTTATATCGATCAATGTAATTCAAGCTGATGTGCACGAAACGTAATGTGTTTCACTTATACATTTTTGCCAAAACATCAGCCTAATACATAAGATAAACCGCATAGGTCCCACGTTGCTTACTAATCAGCATTCAAACATTGAAAGAACGTCGGGGTTACGCAAAGATTTCTTTATTAAACAATATCATTCCGCAACGCATGGACTCAGCTGATCTATTGTCAAGGTTAAATTTGTATGCACCTTCCCGACAATTACGCAATCGACAGTTGTTCGCAGTAGATCGCCATCGAACCAATTACGCTAAATTTGGACCGGTAAATCAGATGATGACTGTTTAAAATCATCATTGTGAAATGATTGACCTAAATATGCCCTCAACAGAATTAAAAATATATTTCAGAACCCTGCGAAGTCATAGAACATAAGTCCTAATGTTAATATGTAGTCTACGATTTGATTGATTGACGAATAAATAAATAAATAAATAAATAAATAAATAAATAAATAAATAAATAAATATAAGAATGCATAAACGATATGTGTGACCGCTTATACATTAACTTTTTGCAAGGTGTCTGCTTATTAGTTGACTTATACATTTTATGAATATTCAGCAATAGAAATTTGCCAAAAGGTATAAGGAGATTTCTATCCGTGTATGAAATAATGATTTAATAGCAAGAAGCAGTTACAATATTACATCAATGGATCTAATTTTGTTCGCAAAATCGATGTACATCGTACAACGTTATATTACACAACCGATGTATTTACCTGGTTGCAGCAGTTTGGATGTAATATTCAACAACTTTTTTTTTTCTGTGTAGAGTTCTCTGCATCTCTCTTAAGTAAGTGTCGGACTAACATTCCTCCCCTTCCCCCACCAGATGCAAGGACGTGGCAAGGATAGCTCTGGTCTGTTGAATGAAGACACATCCTTTATCTAGGGGCATGAAGTAGTTCGCCTCCTCGTGGTGTGCCCTGGAAACGTTAATTTTCGAACACAAGGGAGAGATATTGCGGCTAAATGAACTACAGCAGAGTAAGGACGCTGAAGCCCCATCCAGCTCGTCCCAGGAGGTCGATAAGCCCTGCACAAACCCTCGTTGTGCAAAGGCAGGAGTTACACCGGGTTCTTATAGAGTGCTAAGCACACGCATCTGGTAAGCGGTCACATCTGTCCTGTGCTGCCGTGGACAGTTGGCTGGCTATCACGTCTGCTTTAGAACTCAGGCGAACAATTAACAGCAAACAATAACAGGAAGGCCCTGCACAGCTGCTCACTGTGCAGTAGCGAGTGTCTCGTCTGTGACACACCACTAGTGTGATGCGCCATAGCGCAGCCGGCCCCCTCCCATGATGTAATGCTTTCGGGCGGTTCCGGGGAGGGCAAGGGCCAAGAGCACAGGGTAAGGTTTAGTGGGTCGGGAGCGCTACTTCTCCCATCCCCACACCCTGAATTATCTTCTCAGGTGTCTGCGAGCAGATTCTCCCTTGTATAAAAAAAAACACCCTTTATCTAAGAGGTAGTAATTAATCACAAATTACTATCTAGCAGCAACGGATCAAGGTGGGTCTCCTGCTTAACAACAGTTTAAAGCTCGTACCACCTACGACATTGTGCGACCTGCTTTATGCTATGCTATTAATATATAATTAAAAACGATGGGGGCAACCCCGGCGTAGTGGTTAACATCCATACCTCTCACGCCAAAGTCACGAGTTCAAATCTCACCCCGGACAAGTCACGAATAACCCAAGAGTGTTAAAGTGACTATAATAAAAAAAAAAGAATTAAAAACGATTAAAGTTTATTGAACAAAGATTAAAAAAAGATTGAAAACTTTAATACAAAAATACCTGGGGACAAGACAGCTTTTTATCATGAATAAAATTTGAGTTAATTTTGAGTAACTCTGAGTAACTCGAGTTGCTCAACCAGCCATGCACGGTAACACAGCAACCTTGTTGTGTTTATTCCCCATCTGTCAAAGAAAAATGTTCAACGGTGATAAATATTCCTAAATTCTGCAGCTTCCTATTGTCGAAAGGTGAATCCTGATGAATGTGGGCGTCGAAGTGGAATAGCTGTATAAATAAAGAGAGAAAATGGTGGTTTACACTGGATAACCATCCAGAGGTAGATCCCATGACTGCTTCGTGCCAATCCTTTGTAAGCCGTTTTCATCCAAATCTAGTGCAGGCTGATATCGGTCGACGTTGACCATAGTAACTGCAGATTCAAAATATGATGAATTGTCTGAAGTAAATTTGGTTAAATTGACCATAGTTTGAATATTCGAAAGGCATCAAAGTTACGACTACTACTTTGTAATAGTATTCTCTGTCTTTTGTCTGAATGCCCAAGAATTAGTGCAGAACTTTGAGGCAGTAACCTCATAGTTCTACACTAATACTTGGGCATTCATAGAAAAATAATCCATTTGGTTGCTGGTTGTCATGATTTTCAGAAAAATTAACTATAAGCATTTCTATTTGCCACTAGGTTCGACTCGAGAATAATAGAAAAGCAATACATTGTCATCGTATAGCCATACATATTTTAAATTTTATGTTTCAATAAAACCAAATCAAGCTCCCATCCATCTTGAATTGTCAACATATTCATTCTTATTTGAGATGAAGCAATTTGCAATTGTAGACGTGCAGAACCTCTGATTTGCCAAGCACATGAAGGCCTCATAAATTACGTCTAGCTGGGTGATACGGATACATTTTTCATGTTAGACCATCTTCGGATATGGCAATTTTTACCTTATGCCCCTTCAAAGCAAAATTCTTAGATTTCATGCTGTGAATGAATTCAATTGATTATAAGGATCTGTATCAAGAATATAATAAAATAATTCTGATTCTCCTCCTCCTCTGACACCTAATGTTTATTCACAATGTGGTTTGTATTTGTTGATGAATATACATAAGGACAGAGTACTTTGATCATTGTTGAGTAATTATGAGTTACTCAAATTTACTCGGAGCAAAAATATTAACTTTGAGTACAGCTGGCTTGCCCCTAGAAAAATACACAAAACTTAAAAATACATAAATACGAAAAAATACAAAATACATCTTTTCATGTCGGGTATGAATCGAAAAAAATCAAGTTGAAAGCCCCTTGTAAAATTCAATCAAAATCGAATCGAATGGTCTATTTGAAAAATTGAGCGTGAGTATTTTTTAATATCATTTGCTCGGGTGTTCATGTTGCTGAACTCCGACAGTCAAACGGCAATATCTGGAAACCCTATCCGCTGTCATGTCAGTCATCAGCAGCTGCTAAAAATCATCATATCGGAATTTTTTCGTGTTTAGTTCGCGACTCCTTAAATTTTCCCCGAATAATTATACCCGAAAAATGGTACTTTCCAATGTGGTTCGCGTTGCAAGTCAACTCAACTCAGCCGGAACACGGTCCGGATTGTTGGGAATCCGCCAGATTCGTCGGAAATACACCTACCGCAGCGGAGCGCTGAAACCCATGCCTTACATCATTCCGTTCGGGCTGCTCGGAGTGGTGTTCACCGTTATCCCGGGACTGCTGATCGGGGCAGCCATTAGTAGGAATATGGCCAACTTCCTGGAGGAGAATGACTTGTTCGTTCCTTCGGATGACGATGACGATGACGATTAAGTGCTCCCAGTCATAGGAAGGATAAATGCTTTTGCGTTCTTTTCCAATAATTTTTCGTGTCTTGATTGTTCTACTTTGGTGGATCGATATTTTTAGAAGTGCGGCTGATGATAATGTACGGTAGGTGTTTAATGTCGGTGGTTGATATTTCGCGATTGTTATGCATGTATATACATTAAGCTCGTTCTAGGAACATCTGCTGACCATCAGACAACGGCGTTATGTTGAAGTTTTCGAATAAAATGGGGTTTTAACGAAAAAAAAGGATATTTCTCTATCGCACAACTATTAAAAAATGGAAACGAGAATCGAATTGTGCTTAAATATTGTATTTATTTGTGAGTATAGTGTTAATATAATTGTATATATTATCGTTTAAATTAATTGATGAAATGAATCTATTTTCTAATTACAACTTAAAGCTGAAAAAGGAAACTAGTTCAAATTGCTATTCGCCATGGATGAAGTAAAAGGAACGATAAATATTAATTTGCCAAAACAATTATTTACAAAGCATAAATCTCCTTCCTTCAAAGTTAAACAGTTTTAAAAATATGTCCAATTGAAATAGATGTATAAAAACAGACAGTTTATCAAATTACATAATATAAATAAGGCATTGTTACCACATTTGCTCCAGTCAACTAATAATGCAAAAGTTAATGATAAAACCTAGACAACCTAACCAGTAGATGAGAAGGAATTGTTCCAATTGTGAACACGAATTGACATTACTTTTAGTTGAATAAATATAATTTCGAAAAATTAAGTACACTCTGACTTATTGCCTACACGATTAAATTTCACATCCCCGGCTAGTTGTTGGTGCGCTTGTCGGTCTTTTGCTCATGTTGCGAACATTCAGATGATTACTCCGGGGGTCGTTTGTGCGCGCTCCATCCGTGGAAGCACTTGGTGAACCGTTTCGATTCCTTGTTCTTAAGCGTGAGGAACAGCTTTCTCGGTTGTTCCGGTTGTTTGATGCGCATGTGTTGGATGTAGACCTGTCGTATGGGATATGTAAGGTCAAATCGTCACTTTAATTAAGCTAGAATCATACCTGTGCGGATTTGTAGGCCAGCTTGATTTCCACCTCGCTGCAACGGGAGCCCAGCCACAGGAACACCTGCTCGCCATTGTCCAGGATCATGATGTCATCATCGGCCAGATCGTCCTGGCAAAAGTCGGAACACTTCTCCGCCACGGTGAAGTAGCCCTTCTCATTCGAACAACGGAATAGTCTGGTGAAGTTCATGTACTCGGCATCGGTGTCGTACGGTTTACGACCACACAGTGCTACCCAGAAGAAGTTCTCCGGTTCTTCGCCTTCGTGGAGAATCTGTGGGAATGAATGTTGTTTTACAAAGGATTCAACAATATGATTCTAGCCCAGGGCTGAAAGTCTCCTTAATAAAGATATATATATATATATATATATATATATATATATATATATATATATATATATATATATATATAAAGGAGTGCGCAGTAGGGGTGGGCGTTGGCCAAATTTGGATTTTTCAGATATAATCCTAAATAGGACCTAGATTATTTAATACTCTAGTAACCTCAAGTCCGTGCTCTGTCACAATGTTTCATTGTGATTAATCAACACTCAAAGGGGTAAAATATCAAATTTGGGGTGAATTTGAAAGAAAGGGAACTTGGAGTGTAGAGCGCACTGCCCACTGGACGATTCTGAAGCCTGGCCAAGTGAGTGGGGTATGGGTTTATTTGATTGAACGTCATTTCCAATGTATATATTGATACATTCAAGCAATTGGCATTTGAGATAAGACAGAGATAGGATGCGGAGGGCCCGCTTAGGGGAAGCGTAACCCATGTTATGGTTTCCATTTATTAAATAGTTCAGATAGGCTGGAAATAACATGTTCATAGTGAGAAAATGTACCATATGGGGCCCGTTCACTGATCAAAATCAGATTCACATCGTCAGACCCTACCCAAGAATAAGGGGATTGACGATGACTTGTCAAGTTTTATTTTGAATTTGCGTTTTGCATTTAATACTCTAGTAAATCTCGCGTCCGTGCTCATTAACAGTGTGAGGTGTCAATACTCACTGGGTCATATGTCTTAGACCAGTTCCAGATTAGTTTGCTATTAATATCTTCTGCATCGCAGTTCGCGATAGATTCCTGAATATGGGTTCTCTTTTCCGACCATAATAGTGTGAGGGAAGGGGGTGAGTTCTGGATCAACAGTGGAGGGGGGCCATCGGCGTTTGTGGGCAGACCGTCCAAGGCCCGTTCCTCACAGATCGGAGGCTGCTCACGCAGACCGACACCATCTTCGTGTAGGTGGAAGTTTCCCCTATCCGATGATGGTGTTGGTTTGCGTGGGTGGCCTTCGCTTTGTGAGTGGGGGGCTTTGGAGCGGTTTGTTTACAAATGCTGATGGGCCCTTTTCTATTGTTGATCCAGAGTTAAACGTTGCTATATGAGAGCGAATGGAGGCAAATGGATAGGGAGGACAACACCATGACCCAAATAAGTAGCCAATGCATGCGGCTCACACTTGACTTGTTCTATTTCTTTCTTTCTTCCTATCATGTACTAATATTAACTGCCTGAGGACAAATGGGAACACGATTAATAGGAGAAAAAGAAAATTCGAACAAGAAAAGAAGAATTAAACTTGCACCGGCAAGAGGAAGCAGACAGAAAGGATCATGCCGGTTGGAGACAGCCAATGTATACTGGACGAAGCTTGTATCTAGGAAAAGTCGTATGTGCAGGAAACCGTAAGTAGGATAAGAATCGTAAAAGGTGTGTACTTGCTTGATAAGATCCTAACTTTACTTTAAATACACGGTAGGAATCGAATATCCATTTATGATTAAGGTTTTGCCCATTTTTCAGTGGGAGTGGCAATACTCATTGATGAGTGATTTATCGTACCCATTTATTAGTAACTGTTAGCAGCTAATGATTAATTGATTTACCTATTTTAGAATTACCTATACTTCACATCAGAACCTCATTTCCTTCAATTACTACTCCGTCGCAGCACACACCTTATATGGATCGCTAACCTTTATTTAGTTTCAGCATTGTCGACATTATAATCAAAAGGTGAGTTTTAAAAGTATAATTACCATGCATATAGATAAGTTAATGTACCAGAACCTGGACGGACACGAGCCTACCCAGGGGAGGACCCGGATACGACCACCCATGTGTGTCTAGAGTATCGCACGAGCTGACGAGTGCAACGGGAAGGACAGTAGGTGTATAGACTAGGGGGTTGGTCCCTAGATAAGCCTTCTTAGCGGAAGGCACAGCCTATGCACTGAACAATTACAATTACAATTACAATAAAAAAGGAGTGCGCAGTAGGCTCTGCCCGCAAACGGTCGGTTTTAATTTCGCTGTCACAAATTCCGTGTTTTCTGCGGGCTGTTTGGCTTGTACAAAGGAAAAAAGTCATTTGTTTTCATTATTATCATGTGTATATAGATTCATCATGATTCATTTATCAGTGTTTTAATTTTGTAAATTATTGTGAAATTTCCCGGGCAAGAATTTTGTTTGAATAGTTGTGTTGCTATAGCGTCGTGCTAGCATGTTTCGGTGCTACGCCTCCACTCTCGGAAGCAACGTTTGCCGTGTCTTTTACGTATTTAGTATTGGCGTTCTGCCCCCCTGGACAATAACCGGGAAAGATGATTTTGCAGATTAGACTACGATGCTTCCACGTCGAGGACACAATGCATAAGCGGTGAGATCTAACTGAGTACAACTAGATATAAAAATATGAAATGCATCCTACTAAATACGTGCCATCTACAGAGCAGGAATTGCTTTGATGATGGAAGTGTACACGCAGTACCAATATACATTTTATATCGGTACTACGTGTATGCGGGGCTTGTTGTAAGTGAAAGTAACCTCGGAATGGACGTGAGTGACCAGGCATTCTGAAATGGGTTACTGAATCTCAACAGAGCTATCGCCTTTCAACTTCCGGGCTAAAATTGTTTGCAATGTGATCAGTATAAGATAATAATGCATTATATTGCAAACACTTTTCTTCCATAAAAACACTGCCGGACAGTGGAAGTTGGATTGTATATACATACATACATACATATATATATATATATATATATATATATATATATATAAAAAAAATATGATTGACTGGAGGAAGGTTTTGGAGCGAAGAGAAGCACAAATCTCGATAGAACGGGCGGGAAGAGGAACCAAGAATGAAGTCCGTCAACGATAGAATTCCCTGGGCGACAAAGACCCTGAGAGGAAGATGTATTCACTGGCAATATTCTCCTCTATTAAGATATCTCACAATTCCTGAGTGGAGCAAGGATGAACAGAAAGATACCTATGAAAGACGCGACTGTACAGCTTTTAATCAATAAGAGACGAACCAACTAAGGGCTGAAAGTATCTATAATAAAGCAAAAGAAGAAGAAGAAGAAGAGCTTTTTAGCTAGCTGTATTTTGTCTTCGACTCATTAATGACAAGTCCAATCCTATCGGCTTCAGCCTTAAATCTGATGAACGTTTCCACCATTGTCTCAAAGTGCATGATGGCGAAGCTAAGAAGCACGACGTACTTCCTGAAGATCGTACCACTCGTGTCTATCTCTGCTTTGCGAATTACACCTTCCAAAACAATATTAAACAGCAGACACGAAAGCCTATCGCCATTCTAAAGGACTCGAGAGTGTCACTCGGTCTACAATTTCGCTCCATAACTCTCTTTAAATGCACTTGGAAGAAGTACCTCGATATACCCTTAAGAATTACCTTGCAATGTACCTAAGAAATTACGTGGAATTCTGTTCAGAATTATGTTGGGATTCACTCGCTAGGCGCCCTTTTCGGAAATTTCAGTGTATGGTAAAATGCCAAGAAAATTATGTCGTCCGAGTACACAAAGACGTAGTTAAACTTTATCTTGTAACCCGCCTAATAGGCCCAACTCTTTCAACAGCCGGATAACGCCGGGGCGTCAAAGGCTCGGCAATATGCTTTGGCGAGGTCGAGTACGGTGAGTTCCGAGTGCAGGTCGTTTCTAAAGGCATCTAGGACGACTTTCCCAGCATGTGTCGGTGGGTTAATATCTAGTCCACTGTGTTAGGAAATGCAATAGCCGTACCAAACTAGGCAGTCTATCGCTAAGGAGAATCACAACGACTTGGATTTTTGCTGATGATATTGTTCTTTTAAAACGGCTCTGTAATATGCAGTGTAAGCTCGACTACTGATCTGCGACTGATCTCATCAATGCCGATATGCAGTGTATATGCAGATTGATCAGTTCAATCTCACTTGATAGAAAACTTTTCAAATACTAATTCTTACCTGCAAGCTAACCCACGGGTTGTTGAACATATCTTCGGCAATTTCCTGAATAAGCCGGGACTCTTCTGACGTCGTTTTGGACCCGATCCAGACGTACACAATGCCCGATTCGGAATCGTCATCCGTTTCGAACGGTACAAATAGAATATAGCTGCAAGAAATCAGAAAACCAACCGTCAGAAAACTGATTCAACATTCACCTACTCAAGCACCATACCAGAAAGCCGAATTCAGCAGCGTCGCATCCGTCTTGACCTGGATCAACCGCGTACAGAGAGCACTGCCGTTCGAGCGCAGATGGTAGAACTCGACCGGCAGTTTTCCCTCCGGCGTTTTCTGTTTCTCCTTCCGGCGCCCGTTCTTGATGACAAACTTTCCCTTGAAGTGAGACATGAACTTGAGGTTTTCCTGCTGCTGGTGTATCCTGACCACCTCCAGTTCTTCGCCGAACATGGATTTAAACTTTTTCTGCAGCGTGAATGTAAACGTCAGCCAGCCCATGTTGCCGGCTTCGCGACCTTGCCAGAAGTAAACCACGCACTGGATTTCCTCCGCCTGAGGCAGTTTCATTTTTCTCAATTTTCCATTCCCGGGCTGGTCCACAGTGTCAACTTCCTCTTCGTCTTCGTCATCGTCCACGGGAAGGCAGTACCGACAGAGGAATACATAGCACTCTCCGGTGTGGAAGATTCCAAGTTCTTCCTCCGGTAGACGAACAAACTTCTTGCCCTCCAAAACGAACGATTCCATCACATCCAGATCGTAGTTCCAGTCATCTGCCAGCTGTTGTGCTTCGATCAACGTCATCGACGGCTGTCTGGGCATGAATAGAGCTGCCAGATCCGCCTTCGTTTCCTGCTTCTTCGCCCACCCGGTAAGGTCGGCTCCCGTCCGGGCAACGGATTGCGCTGTACGCGTGAAGTCCACAGCGATGATCTCCTCCCATCCAGTGAATTTCGAACGGAACACTTGGGTTTCGGTTCCCTCCTGGACTCGGGTGATGAGAGCATATTCGGGCCTTTCAATCATGTTGAATAGCTCCTGCGAGAGCTTAATTACCGCTGCCCGAACCAAGCGGGTGGATTTTTTACCGAACCAAACGAAAAGATCCAGATAGCAGTCCAAGATGTACACGTTCTTGCTGTTCAGGATCGTGTGATGCAGGGTTTTGCTGGGCAATTCCACTTGAGGCAGTTCAAGGTAGCCCATGCCGAGCTGAATTTGATACAGTCGAGGCGGAATGGGCACAAAGTCTGGATCGACGTGGGGTGATGGTTTATCACCCGGGCCTTGACCGTCGGAGAAGCCGAGAGCTTTCCAGAAATCAACACCCTCGCTACCTTGATATTCTTGGAAGATTTCAGCCTTGCTTTTGCGTTCGTTCTTGTTTATCTTCTCGGCAATCAAGCGAGCTTTGGACTTGAGCGTGTTCTTCGATTTGGAACCGTACCACATGAAGAGCTGTAGACCGGTGTCCAGAAGGAAGACATAACCAGGATCCAATGATTCATAAGTGACCTCGACGGGTTCCAGGTGGATGTTTGAACCGGCATCGTGGACCCTATACAATCGCACGATGTAGACTAAGTTTTCGATCGTATAGAATCCTGTCGGTGTTCGACCTCCTTCGATGTACGTCACCTCGGTGTCGAACAATGCCAAGAATTCATCCGATTCGTCGGCCTGCTCCTCACGAATCGTTCGACACCTCGCGCCGAGATAGTTCCTCAAGTTCACGGCGTGAATTGCTGCGCAAGCCCTCTTATCTAGCGTCGCTTTTGTGCCAATCCAAAAGAATATCTCCCAACTTAATTGCCCAGCATCGTCGTGAGTCGTTTTCAGTACAATGTAACAATCACCTTCGTAGAACTTACCATGCGCGACTTCTTCAATCTTGTTAGGCAAAAAGTTCTCAATTTCCCAAATGGTCAGACCCACACACTGGCCATCTTCCTCTTCGAAGATCTCGGAGTAATCTACCGGAGGTTTCTCCAGGGTCTCGTCCCATCGCTTCGGTTTCAAATTTGCCGCCTTCTCATCCTCGAAGCCGAGGGAGTTCTTCTCCTTGGCAATGTCCTGCATGCCTTTCAGAATCTTGGCTGAATCCTGCTCGGTAGAATCGGTTCTCGCTCCCCTTCTCAATCGCAGCTTTCTCGCGATTGGATCCTTGCTACTGTTTGCCACCTGGGCCTGTGCTGGGACGTTCGCTCCCGCTAGCCTCAGCTGAGTTTGCAGGGAGAAATCAATATTATAGAATGCCAGACCATCTCCGCGTTGGACTTCCACGGGTTTCGGTGGCATTACAAGATCCGGGTTATTTCTCAAATCCAGCTGTTCCATGTCCGTCAGGAGATGAATCGATTCCGGCAGGGTAATCAGTTTGTTCGAACTAAGGTTTAGTTTCTTGAGCGAACCACATCGGCAGAGACCCTCGGGGACCATCTCCAGTTGGTTGTTGGAAGCGGAAAATACTTCCAGTGCACCTAGTTTCCCAATGCTCGATGGGATGCCTTCGAAATTCAACAGGTTATCATTCACGTACAACCGTCGAAGGAACTGGAGCTTGCAGAGAGTTGCCGGCAAAAGGACCAATTGATTGCGCGATAGATTTAGGGTTTCCAATTTGGAAAGGTTTTCGATCAAGGAAGAAATTTCCTGGATAACGTTATCGTTCAGATTGAGTCGCTTAAGATTGGACAAGTTGTAGAGTGCGTCCGGGATTTTGGAGAGTGCGTTCTGTGAGAGATCCAGCTCCTGAAGATTGAACAAACTGTCCAACGATGTGGGAAAATTTGTTAGAGTGCGTTGAGTATTGCGCATTTGCAGGCAGACTAGGTTCTGTAGTGAAGGCAACTGACGAAGCTGAAACAGCTCCAGGGGATTGTCGTTCAGGATCAGCGTTTGAAGGTTCGAAAGACGACGAGTCTGAGGAGGAAGCGTTTCCAGTTTGTTGTCGGAAAGGTCCAGGAATAGAAGATCTGTTAGATTGATGAACAGCGTTGGTGGAATGCTTTCAATCCTGAAACAAAAAATGAACATTAGATGCAATTCAATAATTTGCAGCCAACGCATTACTTACTGATTGTTGCTCAAATTCAACACCAGCAGACTTTTAGCTTTCTCCAGTCCCTCCGGGACTTCTTTTAGCTTATTGTGCGATAAGTCCAGTGTCGTCAAATCTTCCAAGTCGAACAGCTCGTTCGGAATCCCGGAGCTTTTAATGTTGTTATTCCGCATGTTCAGCGATCGCAAGCAATTCAACTCAGTCAATTCCCCATATAGCTTCTCCAGCTGATTGTTCTTCATAGAGAGATGTTCCAGTTTCATCAGCTTTCCCATTTCTTCCGGAATCTCGTCGATTCCGGTCCGATCCAGCTTGAGCCACTGTACACCGGACATGTGTTTGATGTTCTTCGGAAACCTTCCATCCTGAAAACAGTCCAAAACGAAAGCAACGCAGTCAACACCACCGGCCTTGAACTCGATACGAACACTGTATTATTTTCGAGAGTGATTGCAAAACCCTTCTCGCATTACTCAAAGCGCAAAACAACAAAACGAGCAGGAAGTTTTCCGCTTTCAAAAGCAGCGACGACACACATGAAGGAATTCCCTTTGTTTTTCTCCCTTTTCTTGCGTAGGCTAGTATCTAACAGCAAGATCCGCATTCGGTAGTCCAAAAATAGAATCTCTCAGGCAAAAGTATGTCAACGCCTGATGGCGAAATCCGTGGATCACGGCAATCACTCCCGATCGAATGTAAATAAAAAAAATACTCACGCTGAAGTCATTGTAGGTAAAATCGATTCCCCGCACAAAAGGCAGAACACCTGTCGTACTCATCCTGTGTTTCTGCTCGGGGAAGAAGCTGGAACTGTTTTTTTTTTTTATTCCGATTCCTATTGTTGTTGCTGCTGTTGCTATCACCACCTCAACCACCTACTTTTACCAACGGTTTTCGATCGTTTACCACCGACTTTGTACTGCACTTTACTTTTCAAACCCGCTACTGAATACAATGAATCATCATAGATGAAATTCGGCTTGGAATTTTGGTGATAAGGCGATAAAATTCTAGAAAATATTTTGCACTTGCGGAGAGCGAAGGAAACCCCGTTCCTCCATTAACATTTTTTGCACTCGAACTGACAGCTCGTTTGCTTTGCTTGCATCAGTCGAAAAGTGGGCTTTCGGTGAACGTGATCCACTGGAAGTATAGGCTGTATATACGCAAAGTACATTACACCGTCGCACACTGTTTCCAACAGCTGGGTGGTATCAACAATCAATATGAAACTAACGATTTTCAATTGGCTCAACTTGACTAGCCTATTGGTCCCAAGCAAACGATTAACGTACCACATTCTAGTCTAAATTCTAGTACTACACAATGTTTGTTTTGATTCGCTGTGAAAGTTTGACAGATAAAATTAGGGGTTATTGGTTTTTCCTATGTTTCGAGGGGTGAATCGATTAGCTTGGGACCGAAGATAGTACCAGAGCTGAGCCAAAAAGTTGAGCACGTTATTTCGGGACCTTCTAGTCTTAGAGTTACCTCTATGGTGGTCAATGTGCTGTCTTTCTTCGGAGTTTTGGTTGTTAAGTTGCTGAGGCAGGTTTCATATTTGGTCGAAGAGGCCGGCCTCGCGGAGGAAGCCCATTAATGTTGTGATTCTAGTCGGGTCGTTACTCAGTGCGTCCTTAATGCTGCCCGGTATGCCGTACAGCACTCGTGAGCCTTCGTATTGAGTACAGTGGCAGATTATGTGTTCCACTGAACAGTTGGTGCGGCAGAGCTCACAAAATTTCCGAAACGGGCCGCTCCCAGAAAAGTTATGCGAGACTCTGGTATGGCCTGTTCTAAGTCTTGCCAGGACAACCTGAGTTCGGTGGTCAGGGGGGTCTTGCCATCTTCGTGTGTCAGCCTTCACTTTTCTAAGGAAAATGCGAGGGGGGTGACACATCTAAATCTCAAGTCTAGATGCTCAACAAATCTCCCACTAGCGAATCAATCTTCGAAAAATCTTCTTTCATTTCTCGCATCTACTTGCATGGCGCATCATCTTTTTGCAGGTAATCTTCAAAATCGTCGTCAATCTTCTTTCTATCTACTCAGCGTGCACACAGTTAGCCTCAGCAAAACACAATCTCTCCTGCATCGTAGATAGAGTCGGCCCCCTCGGGAAAATGCTAGTTGATTGGGACCATGTATTTGACCATAAGTCCCAGATTTTGTTGGCAACCCATTTTTTCAGGTCCCCTGATGGAACCTCCTTGGTGAACAGTTGGGCTCGTCTTCCAGAAGCCGCTAGATGATCCGCCTCCGTATTACCACGAATGCCGCAGTGTCCCAGAATCCATACAAATGTAGTGTTTCTGGGGGCATAACGCTGAATGGCTTGGATCCATGAGTGCTTAATAGAGTCTGAGTTGAGGGCTAAAACTACACTTGCGGAGTCCGTAAATACGGCAATCGGCTTGTTTGAGGGAGTGGTAGCAGCAATAAAAGCAGAGACCGCTTCTGCCGATAATATAGTGTACTGGTCTGGAAGTCGATGAAGTACGGACATTTGCGGGCCCGTGATGCCGATGCCAACCCCTTCACGGGAAACCGATCCATCGGAGTAACGGATAGTGTGGTTGCAGTATCTGGTTCTCTGGAGTTCCGCGATGGATCTCACAAGTGCCGTAGAGTTGGATCCTGCCTTGAACTTCTTCTTTATCGCCAAGTCGATAATGGGCCCGGGCAGGTTCCAATCTCTGGTTCCACACCAATGTAAGCTAGAAACCGGGGGGAGCTCCAGATTGGCGGTGGCTGAAAGGAGTTGTTTGGCCTCGGTAAGGAGGAAACCTCCTTCATCTGAGCCAGCTGTCTTCTCATCGAAGTTAACAGATCGGTTACAGATGGTCTGAGTAACTAGAAGGTTGAATGGTAGTACGCCACTTTCCACGCAAGCTGCAATTGCAGGCGTGGATGGTAGTAGGCCGGATGAGATACGGATTGATAAGCAACGATGGTTTGTTTATGTTTGGAACCAAATTCACATAGGGAAAATCAAAGAGCGTAAACAGGTGAGGCACAGCAAATTTGTCGTCTCTTACGTTCTCCGGCTGATGAAATGAATGGCGAAGTTTGACGTAACACTCCTTCAACCGTTTGAACAGCGGGAGAATGAAAGAGGTGACAAACGCAATGAACCTTACACATTTACATCTCATTGATGGATTTTCAGTACGCCAACTTGACTGCACATCCCGCCCCTGTGTAAAACACGGTGATTGACATTCTGAGTTCAAAGCGTTCAAATATCATAATTTTAATAAATTAAAAACAAACATAAATCAATAAAGAAAATTAATAAATAAACGAATACATGAATAAATAAATAAATAAATAAATAAATAAATAAATAAATACATAAATAAATAAATCAATAAACAAATAAATAAATAAATAAATAAATAAATAAATAAATAAATAAATAAATAAATTAATTAATTAATAAGTTAATTAATTTGTTATTATTTAAATCTATTGACAAATAAATATATGTCTTAAATAAAAAAATATGATGAATAACATAATACAAAAATAAATAATATAAATAATAGATAATTAAATAAATATATACATATATAAATAAATATTTTTTTTAATAAATTAATATATAAATAAATTAATAAAACTGCGTTAATTTAAGTTGTAAAAATCGTAATCGGGTTCTCTAATTTTGAAAACGATTGACGATTTTTTAATGCGATGAAATTGTCGTCGGTGTATTCATCCAACTCCTATTCTCATCATCACCGCCACCGCGAGGACGGAATCCATTCGACTTTCCAGCTGTCAGTTGACGGATGCTTTCACTTCACATCACACACACCTTGTTGTTTTCCTTCCATTCCATCGCAGTTGTCATTCGTTTGGTTGCTTGCGATCGTGTCGGACGTGTGTGTAGAAATTTTTACTGCTTGGTTGCTGCTGCCTTTTCTGGATAATAAAAAAATAGCTCTTGTGTTTCGGTGCGATTATAAAACATCCGTCTTTCTAACCCTTCGCGTCGCGTCGAACACTAACATCTTCCGCAGCATACGGACCACTGCGGGATCACGGTGCAATCCGCGGCGCGAGTGTGGTGCAATATTCTACTGTGCGATATCGGAACCAGAAGGAACGGGGTAAACTCTTCCTTTCTCGGAGGTCTCCCACGAAGTGAAAATAATAATAAATTATTGTGATCAATATTTTGCTTCCTCCTGCTGTGAATATTTCGTATCTTTGAGAAGCGTAGGCTTCTGGTTAGTGGAGTGCCGAGAGTTTGATACAGGTGCGAAAACCAAAATTCAATTGTAGAGGAAGAAATCCTTGGTCTGTGTCACAATTTTAGTGGTGCTTTGTGATGTTTGCGAAAAAGAAAGAGATGAAGCTGCTGTAGCATGAAAAAAATGAAATAAGCTTCAGGGAAGGTCAGATCTGAAAAAAGGAGCTCTGCAATAGAATAGGAAGTGAAAAATCTATTAGATTATTATCTGCTCGAATCAGTTGATATTGGAAAACATTTAAACACTCAGCATGGACATTTCAAAGGAGACGGAAATGGATGAAAACACCGAGCTGGATCCGAGGATTCAGGTAAGCCGATTTTAATCCCATTGATAGTCTGCCTACAACGTAATTCCCGCGCGCAGGTCATTACGATTCATTGACAAGTTTGAGCGAAAACAGGTTCTTCCCATGCGGATAAAAGTTCGTCATCGATTCTTTGTCAGCAGAAGGGGTTTGCTGAACAATAATGGACAGCGATATTCTTCCATCTTTCTCAATCGGCTAAAGATTGATGTCATTGTCGGTTTCCGCTGCATCGTGCACGAGTAGATCTCAACACAAGAAGAAGATGATAGATTCATCACATCATCCGCTATTTTCTCACACCCGAGGTCCGACTGAGTGCTGGGCTGACGACTGCTGCTGCATCATGTGTGTTGTAGATGTCGACATTGGGAGGGCTTGGTTGGAGCTTCGAAACAGCAACTACCTACCTACATATTCTCATGTTGGTGCGGATTCCTCCAGATGAGGGTTTTTTTCATATCGTGTTGTTGTTGAAAACCGGTTTTGGTTGGAGAAGCAGATTTTAGAGCTATGTAGGGAGAATGTATACATTCGGATGGCTAAAGGAACGGCTCTTCGACAGAGATTAAGATTTGATGTTTAACTGAGTGGCTTTCGCCGTAGATTTGGGTGGGGAGGGGATTTTGTTTTTGCTTTATGTTTTCATTTTTTGTTCGGTCAAAAGGGGTCAAACTCTGGAATGCTTGCTGGATGATTCGTGAGTCGTGACTCGACAGGCAATGAATTGGTTTGACTTGAGGAAGGAAGTCTCAACTTTGGAAGTTTTGCAAACTCATGTTCACATGTATTTTCGAGTTTGAATATGATGACCTTCCATAGAGCTGAGATTGCTTTGCTTCAGGTTAGACCCACTTTTGTTGAGTGCCTGTTCTTGATACATACGCACTTTGCACACTCATCCTCGCGTCTATTTGTAAACAATTAATGAATTAAAATCGACGTTCGACAGGCAGTTTTGTTTGCAAGATTTTTGCTTGCAATCTAAATCAATTGTATTTGCCCTAAAGTCGTTTGCAGAACAATGCATTTGTGAACCGCATAGCTCAACGTGTTTGAATGAAAATAGAAATTCCTTCGCCCCAAATGGCCTCGTGTATAAACAATTTAAACGAAGAGTGACCGCAGCGCTATCGCAGATGACAATAAAGGCGTCATCGCCGCGGTAGCGGCTCTTCCTTATTTGTCCGCATGGAATTCATATTTCACTCCGTATATACGGACGATTCCCTTTGTCTGATGAACGGCCACCATCGCCATATCACCACATCAAGGCGCACGTTGTTTTGCCAGTGGATCGGTCAGCTGATACTCGAAGAAAATGTGATCCCCAACCAACCAGAGTTAACGTAAACAGATTGTGGTCAAACAACAAGCGAGATATGAGTGTTGAGTATTTACATATTCACATACATAGACGCAAACATTGTTTGGCCCCAATGATGGACGCGAAATTACCGAAGAAGCCGACACAATTCAATGACACGCAAAAAGTCGAGGTTGTTCAGTTGGTTTGGCGGTGGACTTCTCCTTGGCGTATGTTCGATCGTGTTTACCGAAATAAAAAGCGCACGAATCCATCATCTACTGGTGGCTCGGCACGACGCGATATTACGTCACAGATCGAAAATACACGCATGATCATAACATCAGCTCGTCATCATGCGATTTGATTTACATTAACATTATTCCTTTCTTGGTACCTATACTGGATTGGAGATTGATTATCATTGTGGGCTTATCTAGTCTAGTCTATTAAACATTTAAAGTGATTAAGCCATTATTTCATCGCATCTTAAAGATGAGAAAAAGTGGCATGGGTAATGCAACATTGCGAACGAGTTGAGACAAAAGTGGAATAGGATCGATGTCCTTTTCTTTCCTTTATTTAACGTCGGTCTCTGTTCCGCAATCTAGTGCCAATCATCGACGGACATCGATTGCCATCCATTGACGGCAATCGAATGTGCAGGAAGGCAGCTTCCAACACCTGCGTAGGATATCGCACCCATTCAACAACACACATGGGTCGGGACCAACGGCTTTACTTCCCTTCCGAAGGAAGACGTGACCAGAGATTTTTATGCCTCAGAAAAATCCCACCGACCCCGGCTGGCATTGAACCCAGACCCATTGGGGTGAGAAAGCAGTCACTCTTACCACTACACCACCGGCGCCGGCTTGAATCGATGTCCTGATGAAACTTGAAATTAATAGGTTAAATTTCATCCAAATACGATTCTTAAACCAATAATAAACATTCAAATTTTATCGACATGAATACACTGAAGCTAACTCGGAAAACGCCTTAATGTATGTATCTACTAATTGATCATCGCTGATCAACCAATGATTTTTGTGATTTTTGAGAACTTCTAGCGATTGGATCTGCTTAAAACTTTTCAGAAATGAAGTTTACTGATTATTTGAACTAACTCTTTGATTATGTTGGTGCCACAATAGTGGTTGACATACTAAATAATGTTTCGAAAATAGCTAATTTCCCATACATGTTTGTATGGCGTCCTTAAATTTATTTCCGAAGGAAAAAAATCACATTTCCATTTACTTCTTCTACGTAAATAAATGATGCAATTGGTTCTTTCTTAGGCTCGTATACATGATTTAGAATTCCTCTGATTCTTAGATTTGGGAGGAACCATGCTTTTCAAAGTGTTTTTAAATTAATTTCCACTAGTGTATTGAGTGTTTTGTTTAGTTTTTGGTCATTTTTGAAACCTCAGATTGGAAAATATAGATATTGGGTGAAAACGATAAATGGCTATTAGATATTCTTATCAAATTTCGGCACCCTAAATCCTTGCACAAGGCTGGTATCAGGTAACATTTTAGAGTATTTTTTACCTAAAAACTCACATCAAATCACAGTTTGATTTGGTCTAAGAGAAAGAGGTGACAATTGGCTTCTTCCTCTATTATTTCTATCTCTATCTCTATCTTTATCTATCTCTATCTTTATCTTACGCACATGAAATCGGCAATCAGGAGCTGGTTCACGTTTGACAGAAAAGTGGTTCATTTTCGCCCCGTATTGTCACCTCTTCTCTTAGGATTTGGTAACCAATTTGTGTTAGAAAGATTAATTAAAAATCCGTGTATAATGTCTGACATAAGGAGTTGCAAACCTACGGAAACGTTAATTGTCCAATTGATTTTGACGGAATCACAAATCTTCAGAGGTTTCGAAACAAGTTCTAGTCCCAATAGAATATTTTACTTCGAGATCTTGAAAGTTTTCTCAGCCTACTAGGTAGGGTGAAAAGTAACCTCCTTGACCGCCAGAATACGCTGCTACTGCCTTGTAGTTCGTTCGTATTTAGGCAGACATGCCAAATTTCAGTGCGATATTGACTGCCCGGCAATGGACTGACGAGTGCTCCGAAGCGGCCGAGGGAGGCTCGATCGGCCGGAAAGGTTATGGCGTCGGTTTTCTGGGATTGTCATGGCATACTCTTCGTGGACTACCTCGATAAAGGAAAAACCATCACCGCAAGTATTACTGTGCATTATTGGAGCGATTGAAGGCCGAAATCGCTGCAAAACGGCCTCACATTAGGCGATTTTTTTTTGGTTTTTGCAAGACAATACGCCGGCGCACAAGAGCATCGCAACCACGGCTAAAATCAATGACTTACGGCTCCAATTGCTTCCGTATCCACCGTATTCGCCCGATTTGGCTCCCTCAGACTATTGTCTCTTCCTAAACCTCAAAAGATGGCTCATCAATAAAAAAATCAACTCACGTGAGGAAATCATCGACGCCGCGGAGCAGTATTTTGTAGACCTTCCGGAAAATTACTTTTCCGACGGGATCATGGGAAAATCTCTGGAATAAGTGTATCGAGCTAAAAGGGGAGTATATTGAATAAAAAAAAAACCCGAATTTATCCACCTATGGTGTGATCAGACCCTTCTTACTTATTCAAGTTTATTTATTTTATTGTCATTATCAGTGACCAAGCCCCCCACCCCCGTGTCATCCAGTGACGCTACGCCACTGCCTGGGGGTACCCGGAATATACCCGGGTGTAGTCTATTTGGTGAGGCTACCACCAATCACCTTATCATCGTATTTTAATGTGATTTAATGGGTTTTAATTCAATTCATATTCAAGCAACTTCCCCGGGGTACCCGGAACATGTCCAAGTGTGTCCAATGTGGTCTGGAACACTTAACACGACTTGCATTGATCTTATTTTTGAATTCTGTAGTAATTTAATGTGTCGCATGATGGTTTTGATACGTTTTCCGTTAAATCCAGCGTGAAGGCCCATATTCACCGGATCTTATTCCGGCCATATCTCCGGAACCGGTTCACCGATTCCAAAACCGTTCGATAGCGTTCAATGGGACCCCAAGACCTATCATTTGGCGCTGAGTTTGTCCAAATCGGTTGAGCGGTTGCTGAGAAACGTGAGCGCATTCATTTCGTTACATACACACACACATACACACACACACACACAGACATGTTCCGATCTCGTCGAGCTGAGTCGAATGGTATATGACACTCGGCCCTCCGGGCCTCGGATCGATAGTCGGTTTTTCAAGTGATATCTATACCCTTCTTTCCCTAGGAGGTTACTTTTCACCCCACCTAGTAAAATGTCAAAAAATTGTCTAGGAAAATTTTCAACATCTCGACACTTTTTCAAAGGCTAGAATTTTGAATTATGTTTGAAAACAAAGAGTGTGGTTCTGCGGTGCGAATTTTATAGGGATATTAGAAGCACTAAACTATCTATTTTTAGATGGGTTAACTGAACATTCAATTGTATTTAACGTAGCATTCTATAATAAAAAGTAAAGCAAAGTTCCAAAAAAGCGATCCATCCCTGTCCATGATCATTTAATGTATTCTATGTTACAGAAGCATTTACATTGTTCAAGGACTGTGAACTTACATTCTATATGTTCAAAATATAGGAAATTATTTCAGGCCGTACAATTGTCGCGATTTGTTTTTCTTGAAGATCTAGAA